TTCATTGTTAGATCTACTGGAACACTAGTATATTGTATAATGTATAATACATAACGTGTCGAAAATTGTATACAAAATTATCATGTATATCAAATACTAGATGAGGATAACTGAGGATCTCATACAACAGTCAAGATGTTTGAGCTATGATCTCAGAAGAGTATAATTCAATGAATTTCATTGATTTATTGCAACATTATTCCTTAATGGACCAAAACTATGTGTCTGAATTCAATATGATTTTATTGATAGCAATGCGTATGAATTACATGTTCGCTCACCTAGGAACAAATTAAATAATAACCAAGCTAAGTTAACATACATTAGTGATATATGATATTTTGCAATTCCTGTGTACATTAATTCAACTGATCAAGCTAGCTTTCATTGAACCTTTGGACCTCATCTTGTAATTTAATTCAAATCAAAGGTTAGTTATACAGCTTTGGGACTCTGTATGCTGGTGACCATCAATAGTATTTCAATTGGTTTAATTGCTACCATGAGTATCGATTAATTTATCTAAAATTTCATATCCTTATTGAATCTTCTTGTGTTTTAAGTTAAATCGAAAACATTCAATATAAATACGTTAGAATCAATATGACATGTATGTATAAAATTAATTTTTACAGAAAATTTAACAAAGATAAGTGGTTTGAGGGCACGCCTTCCACGGTCCACCCCAGTATTTTTGGCCTGAAAACTATATAAATCATGAAATTTCCCTTTTATGGATTTCTTCTTCTTTTTACAACAACATGGGTTTCACATCAAAAGTATCAATATCGTTCTATTAGAAGCACAAAATACAAACCACGCCATGAGGTACTCAATCAACAGCAAAAAGAGAAAGGTAGCAAGTTACTAACATTACTATAGAGAACGTTTGAAAGACTGGTATGTCGACAGCTATATATTATGATTGGTGAGTTTCTGATTGTTTTTAATTAAAAGAACCTTTTGACACTAACTAGAGAACCCCAATTGACTACACTCGTGAGTATATCTATTGCAATTTTGAAGATATAGCTTTTGACCAAGGAGGTCACCATTTACTATCTTGACCCAGCTTTTGCAGTTTGAATTGTTTGCTAATGTGAAAAAAGAATTTGCAAAAGGGTGGTCGTTTCTTTTAATGTGCTGGTAGGCTGTGATCTATAGTTGTATATAATTGATATTCATTATAAAATGTATAGAATCATATATATAATTCTAGAACAATAGAAGACAAATCAGTAGAAATCTATACCGAGCCTAGCAAAATGTCCCAGATTTTTGTCCTTTTTTGTCCTGTACTACTTGCTCTGCTCGGTTATTGAAGGGCCTGGTTTAAAATTGAAAATTGGTTCCAATAAATTGAGCATGGGCACGCCCCATAGTTAAGCTCCCATACAAAAAAACTCCCATCCGGGACGTCAGTGTGCAACATATATAAGAGCAGATAAGTACAATATGAGTCAAGAATATAGAATATGTTTCTGATCAATTACTACGGCCAGCTAATGCGATCACTTTAATAACAAGAAGACAATCTTTTTTCACTCTGCCTATAATATATACAAATTACATTGAGCTTATGACGAATTATTGGATCTGCAAATGTAAGAGCTAACATTGTCAGCTCTAGCTCTTCACCCAAATATCATGGAGTAATAATATCATAATACGTATGTATATAATATGTGTTTATATAGTATGTCTTTATATAATATGTGTGTATATAATATGTATATATATATGTATAAAAGTTGTAAAATAATTTGTCAAAACTTATAATGGATCAAGATGTAAAAAGCTCATAATCTTGGTATCATAAATGGTGGCTCTTCCTGGTTCAATTGATGCTAAACCGATTCAGGATGAGGTAATGGGGTCTAACGTGTTCAAAGACAAGCGTGTTCTCGCTTTTCGATCTTCTCATCATTCCAATTGTAGGAAACCATGACTTGAACAATGTTCAAAAGAATAGCTGCAACTGCAAATCCAATTCCAACATACATTGCTGCTCTATAACTTTTTAAAAGATCTGATGTCTTCTCGTAAATTTGAACTTCTGCTGTAGCAGCAATCCCTAGACCAATTGACATGGAATAGTTGACCATGGTTGACACTAAAGACCCAGCCATCCCTTGATGCTTTTTAGGTAAAGCATCAGATAAAATTAATAATGCAGCAGGAAATGATAAATCCATACCAAAACTTAATATTACCATCTGAGCAAATGACATGTTAAAAAAAGTTTGATGAATTGGAGTTTTAGAAAGCATAGCTATCCCCACAAAAAATGCACACATGGAGGCCAACAAAATGTATGAAGGTTTAACCTTTTTAATTAACATGGACACAATGAAACAAGCCAAAGAACCAAAGACTGCAAAATTACAAAATGTTGCACCACTTTCCAATGGATTGTAATGTCTCAAATTTAAAAGCAGACAATAATGGTAGTATGACCAAATCGAAAAACTACCCCATCCTAAAAAGGTCACTGTAAGTGTTAATAGGATATTAATATCCATAATCTCACTAGGTAACAATGGAGACTTCACTTTCTTCTCGACATAAAAAAATAATGCAAGAGCTAATATACCTATAATTAAAAGTACAATAATGTATGGACTATCCCAACCAGCAGCAGGTGCTTGATTCCATGCAAAATTAAACAACAGTAATCCTACCACTCCTGTAACTGCACCTGGCCAATCCATTCCCAATTGAGCTGGATGAGGAGTGATCGTTGGTACGACAAGTTGAACTCCAATACCCATCAAAAACAATACAATTGCATTTGAATAAAACCCCCATTCCCAATGACCAAATTGACCGGTTAAAGCTCCAAATACTGAACCTAAAGCAGCACCTAATGGTGCACAAGAAGCAATCAAACAAAAGACAATAGCTTTTCTTTGTCCATTTGGGTATAAATTACCAGCAATTCCAATAGCAGTAGGTAATATAAATGCTAATCCTATTCCTTGAAAAGCACGACAGATACAGAAAAAGATTAAAGATTCGGAATATCTTGATATTCCACTAAGCAATGTCCAGATACAACACCATGTTATACCACACATTAAAACAATCTTTAATCCATAAAGATCACCAAATTTTCCTGATATCAAAATAAAGGCACCAGTCGTTAAAGGACTACTTGCTAATAACCATACTTTTTCATAACCGTTAACATTTTTAAAAGCCTTTTCCAAAATGTTCATCACTGGGTGAGATTGAAACATTGCAATTTGACTTAACAATTGTGCCAACATCATTAGAATGACTATAACTGTCTCATGAAGCCAATTTTTGAAACATTTAGGACGCTCGTCAATATGAATCATCATCAAAAAAAATAATTAACCTTGTATAGCTATAATTATAGTACAGGCGCTCATGATATTTATAGCTTGAAGTGAACTATATCTATTTATATAAAATTAGGCTCCAAACTCATATCCTGGAAAAGCCACCATTAATTATTCGTATAGATTATAACAGACAAAACATGGTTTCGTTCAGCCTGACCAATGATATATTGCATGAAAAATTTTGGTATTCCTTTTTCCACAATTTAAGAATTGATATAAATGTTCGGGCTCTGGTTGAAACGTTGAAACTGCACTTCGTCACCAAAATTGATCGTATACAGAATTCAGCATCCTTCAAAATGTATGTTCAGTACAGAAGCACAATATGATGGGTACTCAAAGCAGTTGTCATATTAACACACGTCTCGTTTAGTCCTCAATATCAATGAGTTAATACATAGGTTGAGTAACTCTAAATCTGGCTCTTCTAGTTTATATCGATGATCTCGTTAGTAATAATAATAACCGTGTAGTTGTGACAGATAATAAATTTTCTGTCAGGGTAACTTCTTTTCTTGGGCGTCACATGACTACTATATTACCTAATGTATGACATAATCAGCATTGAAATCTGCCCAAATCAAACGGGTAAATTAAAATTTAAAATTTCCCTTTTTAAATATTTTTTTTGATTTTTAAGAAAAGCTGTTGGAAACCCCAAAATTAAACCATATTCATCCTAAATTAAGATCTCATCAAAATACATATTATAGTATAAATAACTAAACATATTACAAGACTTTAATCACTATCATACACAAACCATTCATTACAACACATCACACCATCACAATATCATATCATACAATCAACCATTAAATCGAAAGAAGTATATATATACCATATTCTTAACAAAATCGTGTCACATATATAAAGAGATTTAGGATCTATCATATACATCTATACAACACAACAAATTAATCAGATCAAACCACACATCACAACACATCCATGTCCAACGTCAGTCAGATCTATAAACGTACCGAAGTCATTGGTCGTGGGAAATTTGGTATCGTTTATAAAGGTATCCATAGAACTACAAGACAAATTTATGCTATAAAAGTCTTGAATTTAGATACTTCTGAAGATGAAGTTAAAGATGTTCAACAAGAAATTCAATTCCTTTCCCATTTAAAACAAATACCCAACGTGGTACATTATTATGGATCTCATTTAAATGGTACAAAACTTTGGATCATTATGGATTATTGTGCTGGTGGTTCCCTGCGTACTTTATTAAAACCTGGTAAAATTGAAGAAAAATATTTAGGTGTTATTATAAGAGAAGTATTGATTGCTTTACAATTTGTTCATAGACAAAATGTTATCCATCGTGATATTAAAGCTGCTAATGTCCTTATATCAAATGAAGGTCGTGTTCAACTTTGTGATTTTGGTGTTGCCGCTCAATTAACTTCAACAAGTGTACGAAGAAATACAATGGCTGGTACTCCATATTGGATGGCTCCAGAAGTTATTATGGAAGGTGCTTCATATGATGTTAAAGCTGATATTTGGTCCTTAGGGATAACAATTTATGAAATTGCCACTGGGAATCCTCCATATTGTGATAAAGAAGCTATAAGAGCAATGCAATTAATAACAAAATCAAAACCTCCAAGATTGGAAGGGAAACAATATTCTCCTTTATTAAAAGAAATTATTGCCTTGTGTCTTGATGAAAATCCTCAAGAACGTATGAATGCTGAAGATTTGCTTAAATCAAGATTTGTTAAACATCATAAAAATTCACAAATTAGTTTATTAAAAGAATTAATTTCAAGATATTTATTATGGAGAGAGAAAAAATCATCAAGAGAAAGTATATTAATGAATTTAGAAGATGAAGCTGATGAAAATGAAGTTGAATTAAAATGGGATTTTGATTCATTAAGTTCAAATGAATATATTTTGGAAAATGATATAAATGTTAATAATTTAAATTTAAATGAAGGTTCAGAATCATCTCCTTTAGATTTTAATTTTACAAATTCTGGTGATTATGATGATGGTGATGATGAATTTATGACTGGTTATCAAAATTTTAATCATCAAACTCAAAGTAATAATGTTACTTATACTAAGAATGGTACAACTTTTGGTAAAAATACTGGAACTGGAACAGGGACTGCTAATTTTAATATTGGTTCTACTTTAAAAGCAAGTAATACAATGAATAGAAAAGAAGCTCCAAAATCTTTATTACAATTATTTGAAGAATCACCAATTGAAGATGAAGAAATTTCAAATAATAATCATCTTAATCATCATAATATTAATCATAATCATCATTCTCATGAAGATAATTATGAAATTCCAAAAATTTCATCAGCTATTGGGTTACATAACTTATCATCAAATAATAATACAAATCATACTTCAAGAGTTTCTACTCCAATTGTGGAAATTGAAATTCCAGATATTAATGCTATTGAATCTCAAATTCCTCAATCTGCAACAACATCTCATCCACCAACTGATTTCCCTAAACCAAGATCAAGAGCAAATACTTTAGTTCATACTCAATCTGCTGCAGGTAATTTAGAAACAAGGAAAACTTTAGATCCTGCAATTCAAAGAAGACCAACAATAAGTTCATCAAATCAAAATAATAATCAAAATACATCAACAACAACATCATCATTACCACAACCACAATTACAACCACCAGTTCATACTTCAAATTCATCAACTAATTTAACTAATTCATCTCAACCTAATATTCAATCATCAATAAATTCATTACCACCAATCATACCAAGAGGTACACCATCACCAAAAAGAGAATTAACATCACAAGTAAATTCACCGTCAAAATTGAATATCATTACGTCTTCACCAAGTAAACCTTCAATGAAGGCTATTCATTCACCAAATAATCCATCACCTTTATTACAACCTTTAAATGGTTCAACTCAACAACAACAACAACAACAATCTCAAAATACATCACAACAATTTCAAAATTCAAATAAATCAATGCATGTTAAACGTAATCATCAAAATTTAAGACTTCAAATGCCAACACCAACTTCATTACAATTTCCAAAATTATTAAATAATAATTCTTCATTAGATGAAAATAATCAAATTGATGAAAATATAAATCAATTTGGTATTAATGTATCAAATATACCAATGACAATGACTCCATTAACTGAAAAACCACCACCTTCCCAACAACAACAAACTCAACAACAACAACAACAACCAACTCAATCATCTACATCAATTGCCCCAAAACGTAAAATGACATTAACATCACAAAATCCCCCGCAATTACCCTTTTTACAAAATTTAAATAATCAAAATCATACAAATTCATCAATTTCTTCACATTCATCATCAAATAATATTGAACCACCAAATAATAATGATAATATCTTTATGTTTAATTTAGATACTTCATTATTTATTGATTCTGAAAGTTCAAAAGATAAAATTAATAACAATATGGTGGAATTATTAAATCAATTTAGTAATGTTTTAGGTATTATGGAGGAAAAACTTAATGATTTAAAAGAATAGATATATTTATTACACATTTATATATTTGGGTATGTAATTCCATTATATTATGCATCAACAAATTCTTCATCATCTGTAGTTTCATTATCTTTTGATTGTCTTCTTTGTTTTTCTGGACTTGATTCTATTTCACTAGGTTCATCTTTTTTCAAAACTGGTGTTTTATTTAATGATAGTTTAGTATCTTCTGGAGAAAAACTAAAACCTGAATCATCTTTAGTTGGAGTTTTGGTATTAAATTCATTAATTTTTGGAATTATTGGTGTTGAATCTTCTTCATCAGAATTTAATATAAAATCTTGTGGTCTTTCAGTCTTGATTAAAAGTCCTTCAGTTTTGGGTGTTTTAATTGGTGATTCTTCTTCATCTTCATCTTGGGAATAATCATTCAAAAAATCATTTGTAGCATCATCTTCATCTTCATCTTCTTCTTCTGGGTTTGAAGTTTTTTCTTTTTCAGTTTCATGGTTTGTTGTTTTAATTGTTGGAATTTCAGTTGAAGTATTGATTCTTTCACTTGATGCAGTTGGTGCTGGTTTTCTTAAAACTTTAGCAGGTTCTTTTAATGTAATTGGATGAGTTGGTTCAGGTGATTGATCATCATTAAAATGTTTTTCAGGTTCTTGTTGTTGTTGTGATGGTGGTGAAGATATATCCTCAGCACTAACTTGATGAATTAACGGTGAAGCTTTATAATCTGCAGATGGTGTTTGTAAACCAAAAGAGTCATTTAATGAATTTTTTTGTTCAATTGAAGATCTTGTTGATCTTGTTCCATTAGTTGATGCTGAATTTAAATTATAATTTGGAGATTCTAAATTTGAAAGAATTTTATAAATATGATCTTTATTACCTGGATAAATTTTTGTTTGTTGAATATTTGATTCTAAATCCCAAATACCAACATTTGACCAAAATAATTTAGCTCTTAATCTTGTTAATTCTAACCATGCTTTCCTTATTGAAATTTCATCATCTAATTTCCAAACATTATTTTTCAAAGAACGTAAAAATGCAAATAATTCACAAGCGCTTCTAACTTTAAATAAACAATATGAACATAATGCATATTGATGAGCAATAACTGGTGATGAAGGTGAAGGTGATGCAGTTCTTGAAGAATTTAAATCATCTTTACTCTTTGGAGCATGGACTTTTAAAGTATATAATCTTGAATGTTCCAATATATCATTTCTCATTTCAGAACAAATAGCACAAGGATGTTCAATTGCCACTGGAGGGCTATGAGCAGGATATGTATATAAATTTGATTTAACATCCGATTCATTAATCTTATTACTTTGGAAATTAATTCTATAAGTTTCATTTATACCAGAAACTGGTTCAATAACAACTCTACCTTCAATAAAAGCAGTCATTAATGTACGTTTACTATACCAACCAATCCCAGCAGCTGAATCTATTCTTAAAGCAGGCTCAACATCATCAGTAACTAATTTTTTCAAAAATTTAGTATTTGTATCTTTAATTTGTTCAATATATTTCAAATCAGAAATGAACTTTTTAAATTCATTATAAAATTTAAGATCAAACCTTATTGAATTTATAATTGGTGCATAAATAACTTGTGGATTAATTGAAGAATTTGACAGATCAAGATTTGAAGATGATTTATTATGATTATTATTATTATCAATATAAGAATTTCTAATGGAATTATTTGTAGAATCATCATCACGTTCATGAATAACATTTTTCAATTCTTTTAATTGAGATTGTAAATTATCCAAGAGTAAATCTTTATCTTTTAATTCCGAAATCAAACGATCATTTCTTAATTGTATATCATGAGCTTCTTTTCTAGCAGTGGAAACCATTTTATTAGCTTCATCAAATAACGAGGCAGAAAGTTCCTCTACTTCAGATTGAAGTTTAGAAACTTCATCTTTAGCTTTTAATTTCTCATTTGTTTCAGATTCTAATTTTTTACCAATTGATTGATTTGAATTTAAAAGTTGTTCATGTTCAGTTTGTAAAGATTTATAACTTTCCTGTATAGATACCAACTCTTGATTTCCTTTCTTCAAAGCAGCATTCTCCTTCTTTTGATGTAATAGTTGTTCTTCTAATTTGGATTGCTTCTCAACCAATTCCATAAGTTGTGTAGATAACGATGTCACCTGAAGCGATACTCTATTGGACTCTTCGTCTGTTGTAGCAATGGGATCACTCATTATGGGCTGTTGACTGTGTAATGTAATGTAATTAGCTTGACCTTGACCTTAACCGCCTTCGAAAAAACCTGACAATTCCCACAATATTTATTTGATTCTGCTCAAATAATGCTCAAATAATCACAATATCAAAATCATCTCACTTAATTCTCGTTTTCGTACCCGCCAAAAAATCCAATTTCAAAATCAAAACACCAAAATTCAAATTCGCGGCTCCAAAACTCGCGATCTTGGTTGAGTGCGCTGGTCATTTTTGCTTTGGATTGTGGGCTTGTGAATTAATTTTGTTATGGAAATGGGAATCAAAGAGGGCCATCAGACAGACACTGAACAGACACTGGACAGAGTTACGCTAGGCTGAAGACAAGGGTACAAGGATATAGCTTTAAGGGAACACCCAGAGACACTCATACACTTCCTTCTCATTTTTATATTATAATTGGTGTCTTGTTACTGCTGAATGCACGAAAGACAAAAAGTCGCATTTTTTTGGACATCAAAGCATCAAAATCCATCTTGTTAGTTTTAAATTGAAACAGATCATTATACCCTTTAGTATCACTCACACAATTTCAAAATGAAGAAAAGACCTGAGCAAGAAGCTTCCAGGCAAGCATCAGTGAGGTCTACCGCTACTTTGGATAGTCAAAAGACTGGAACCGGTAATTCATTGTTGTCAAATATTCGGAAATTCTCCAAACCAAATAAAAGTGAAGATTTAAATCATATTTCCACTTTAAACATTTCAAATCCTCAATTACAAACTTCATCATCCAATATGGCTCGTCGTGGGAATGATAAAGTGTATCATACTGATTCCCCTTACAAGAAGAGACAACCAAGTGATAGTTCGGCTTATTCTATTCATTCCCAAGCTTCTCTTCCCTTAAGCAAAGGAACAACCTTAAACAATTCATCCCATTCTATTTATGATTCACAACCTCCATCACCATCCCATTCACGTCGTTCTTCCACTTGGACCACAGCGGCTTCCACTACAGATGATATAAGATCCATTTCAACTCCAAATAAGAAATCCGCCCTGCAAAGAATTCATACAAATCAATCTGTTTTATCAAATTCTTCCATGGCAACTAGTGGAACTAGTGCTAATAATAATAATAACGATTTCATATTGGAGCAACCAAAAGATAATTGGGAAATTGATGAAATGTTTAATGAATTAATGGAAAAACGTGATTTCAAAAGTTTACCAGATGCTGCTAAACGACAAATGAAGGAATATCCAATTTCTAAAAAATGGATGCTTATTTATCAAGATGCTTTATCTGAAAAGAAAAAACAAGAACGTTCAAAGAAAGGTGGTGAAAATCCTGCAACTCCAGAATCTTATGTTAGATTACTGATGTCTAAATCAATTTCGGTTAGACAATTGGGGAATCTTTGGGTTAGTTTACGTACTGAACCTGTTGATTGGGTTAGAGATTTTATTGATGCTCAAGGTCCAGTGGCATTAGCTACTGTATTACAACAATTACACACTAGATCAACAACTGATTTATTAAATGATGAATTTTTAGAAAAAGAGATTTCAATCATAAGGTGTTTAAGAACTATAATTAATAATCAAAGAGGTGCTGATTATGCATTGGATTCAAAAGTAATAGTACCTGCAATCACAGGTGCTCTTATCTCAACAAGATTAGCAACAAGAAGACTTGTAACTGATATGTTAAGTTTCTTGGCTCATTTTAAATCTCCAGAAGGTTATGAACAAGTTTTAAAAGCTTTAAATTCAATACCACCTGATAATATTCATTTCCAAGCTAAATCTCTGGATAAAAGAAATTCAATAATTTCTCAACCTGGTACAAGTCAATCTGGATTGAAAAGATTTGAACAATGGTTAAGAGTTGTGGAACAAACTTTAGAAGGAAGAGGTAAAATGGGATCCATGGTTGGTGCTAGTGAAGAATTAAAATCTAGTGGTGCAACTGGTGAATCTCAACTTGTTGATTATGCATTAGCAACAATGGTTTTAATTAATTCCATAGCTGAAGGTGGTGTTGATTTTAAAGTTAGAACTCATATTAGAGCACAATTAAAATCTGGTGGATTACAAAAAATTTTCAAAAAATTTCATAAATTACATAGTGAATTGATTGATGATAAAATTAGAGAATTTGAAGATGCTGCAGCTGAAGATTATGATTCTCTGCTGAAAGCTGAACGTATTGGTGAAGATGTTGATTTAAATGATCCAGTATCGTTAGTTAAAAATATTTGGAGTAAAATTCAAAATTCTGAAGCTGAAAGTTATTTCATGTCTGCTATTCAACATTTATTTTTAAATCAAACAGATTCTTCGAAAACTGTGGGTAATCCAGATACTGTTAGATCTTATAGATTAATTGATGGTTTAATCTCTAATATCACTATGGGTGCTACATCTAATGATGATACTGCTTTAAATGTTGCCATTCATAGATTATATGATGGTCTTCAAACTGATGAAGTTGCAAGAAGAGCTATATTAGAAAGTAGAGAAGCTACAAAGAGAGCTGAAGAAGCAATAGCTGAAAGAGATGAATTAGCAAGACAGATTTCATTAGGTTCAGATGGTATGATGGAACGTTTAACAAATGAAGTTAAAGAACAAGAAATTATTCTTATGAAACAAAGAAAATTAAATGAAACAATTTCATCTGAATTAGAAGAATTGAAAAGAAAACATATTTTAGAAAAACATGAACAAGAACTTGAAATGAGAGAAATGTTAATTCTTCTTAATAATGCAAATGAATCTAATCAAGGTACTAATTCTAAATCACAAATTGTTGATAGATTGAAAAATCAAATATCTAGAAAGAAAAATCAATATAAAAATGATAATAAAAGATATGGTACCTCGGTTGAACCTAATAGAAGACTGCGTGTCTTGAGAGATCAAATGGAAGATATTGAACAACAAGCTAGAGAATTGGAAATGACAAATTTCACTGAAAGAAAGAGAAATAATGATAGTATTTCAAGTATTTCACCTGTTATTATCCAACAATCACCTCCAAAACCACTTCCAGTCCCACCAAAACAATCATTTAAACAAGATGATGCTTTTAAATTAGAACATTTGAGACAAAGATTAGATTTCTTACAAAATCAATCTAATGATATCTTGAAATTTGATACTGATGCTAAAAATAAAGAATTGATGAATAAACAAAAATTAATGGCTATGGAAAGATTAAAAGAATTACAATCAAGATTCCAAAATTTAAATATTGATTTCTCTGTTAAAGATTCAATTGCTGGTGAAGGTTATCGTTCATTAGATCCAAGAACTTCAAAAAACAATATTAGTATTCATGATGAATTAGAGGAAATTGAAAAGTTAAGTGAAAGATTGGAAAATGAGTTACTTGTTCAAGAAAATGTTCCATCTAAATCATTTTTGGATTCATTAGAAGCTAAATATGCAAGAGGTAAAAAAGAACCAGAACAAAAACCAGATTATAGTTATAGAGCTTCTGTTGCTGATAAAGTTAGAAGTAGTAAAGGATTTGAACCTGCATTTTTACAAGAACTTACTTCAAGTGTTGGTAAGAAAGAAGCTATTCCAGATAATAATGATATTCAACCTCAAGAACTTGAAGTACCCTCACCTGTCAAAGCTTCAGCTGAACCTATCAAACAATCAATTCCACCACCTCCACCTCCACCTGCTCCACCACTTCCACAATCAAACAATCCATCAGCTCCACCTCCTCCTCCCCCTCCTCCAGCTCCACCATTACCTGGTACTTCAAGTATACCTGGTCCTCCTCCACCTCCTCCACCTCCATTACCACCTGCATTTGGTGGTTCAATGCCTCCACCACCACCACCGCCATTACCTTTTGGAAATGGTGCCCCAGCTCCACCACCACCACCACCTTTTCCAATGCCAAAATCAGCTACACCAGCTCAAAGTCCATTATTACCACAATCACCAAGCTTATTTGAAAGATACCCAAGACCAAAGAAGAAGCTTAAACAATTACATTGGGAAAAAGTGGAAGCTACAGAAAATTCATTTTGGGAAGGTACTGCTGCTGAAAAAGTTGCCTCTGATCTTCTGAATAAAGGTATTTTCGATGAACTTGAAAGTATTTTCGCCATGAAAGAGATCAAAAAGATGACTAGTAAGAAACAAGGCGAAGCTGAAAAACTTACATTTTTGGCAAGGGATGTTTCACAACAATTTTCAATTAATCTACATATGTTTTCTTCATTAAGTGATGAACAATTAGTTAACAAAGTTTTAAGATGTGATAAATCAGTTCTTGAATTACCTAATGTTATTGAATTTTTGGGAAAACAAGAATTATGTGAAATACCGAATGGTTTAGCTAGAAATCTGGAACCATATAGAACTATTTGGGCTAAAGGTTTCGAAAAATCACCAGAAAAAGACCCTAATGAATTACATAGATCTGATAGAATCTATTTGGAATTGTTTTATAATTTGAATGATTATTGGCCATCAAGAATGAGAGCTATCAGGGTTATCACTACATATGAAAAAGAATATTCTGATATTGTTCACAAATTAAGATTAATTGATGATGCTACAGAAAATATTCAAAACTCTGAAAATTTGAGAAGAGTGTTTGATATAATTTTAGCTGTTGGTAACTTCATGAATGATACTGCTAAACAAGCACAAGGTTTCAAATTAAGTACATTACAAAGATTAACTTTCATGAAGGATGATAAGAATAGTATAACTTTCTTACACTATGTTGAAAAAGTGGTTAGAAAAGCATATCCGGAAGTTGAAAGTTTCTTGGAAGAATTAAGTAAATGTTATGATGTTGCCAAATTAGCCATTGAAAATTTAGCAACAGATTCAAAAGATTTCTCCCAAGGTATTAAGAATGTTGAAGCATCAATTGATATTGGTAATTTAAGTGATTCATCTAAATTTCATCCAAGAGATAAAGTGTTGACTAAAGTCTTACCTGTGTTACCAGAAGCTAGACGTAAAGGTGATTTATTACAAGAACAAACTAAAATGACAATCACTGAATTTGATAAATTGATGAGATATTTTGGTGAAGATCCAACTGATACATTTGCTAAAAATTCATTCTTCAGAAAATTTGTTGACTTTATGAATGATTATAAGAAAGCACGTAAGGATAATTTGCAAAGGGAAGAAGAAGAAAGAGCATATGAAGTTAGAAAGAAGATGATGGAAACAAGCAAAAGTAGAGATTCTGCATCAGATTCAAAAGATGAAGAAGGTGATAATGTCATGGATGCTTTATTAGAAAAATTGAAAGCTGCAGGTCCTTCTAAAGGTCAACCATCATCAGCTAGAAAAAGAGCTTTGGCTCGTAGAAATATGTTACAATATAAAAAGGCAAATCCAGATGACAGTGATGAAGAAGATGAAGATGAATTAGATGCCAATGATGTATCACCATCTAAATCTGGTCGTAATGGTTCCCCTCAAAGAAATAGTTCAACAAGTACACAAGCTGAATCATCAACACCACCAACTGAAGCAACTGAAAATGGTGAAGATGACGTTGGATTAAGAGCAAGAAACTTGTTACAAGAGTTAAGAGGTGGTGCAAGTGCTAATAGTGGCTCAAGTACTAATGAAAGTGGTTCCTCCCGTGTTCAGCAACTAAGAGAACAACAACGGTTAAGAAGAAAACAAAGTAATGGTGAAACCTTATCAACAATTGAGAACCAAGAACCTGATCTGAATTCCTCCGAACCGATAGAGAAAGAAAGTAATGAAGAAGAAAAAGAAGATGTAAAGAACGATGAACAAAAATAATCAAGTGTAATTATAAAAAGAAGATGAACTCAAAGAAATACATATACAACATATTATGAACAATTTAGGTTAAGGCATATAGACAATTTATGATGTTGCACTGCTTATAGAAAATATCATCAATACGAGTTTTTGAACTTTTAAGAATTAATGTTAATGACTATATATTATAAGCATATCTTGTAGTGACTCTTCAGGAAACTTACTTACTTATATACCTTCTGTGATTTGTCCTTTGTCTAGAAGTAACCTCACTATGTCCGCCTCAATTTCGCGCGCGTTTGTCCTTTTTTTTTTCAGGGGTCAGGGGTTTCGTAATGTTGCAGCAATTTAAATTGTAAGTCTAGAATCACGAATTTGTATGCTGCAAAGATCTGAGATCTAATTGTTCTAGCTAACTATCTCTTAAATTAAGAGCTAGAACATTCAACTTCATGAGATCTAGCTCTATATGTACATGAAATAGCTTGATATTACTTCATGATTGCTCTACAACGTACCAGTATGATTAAAACAAATATTAAAAGTTATTGAATTAAATTTGAGCCGTAAGAAAAAATATAAACATTAAATAAAGTCATAAAATAGGTTTGGGTTTCAAACCTGATAAGGTAGAAGTAATATGGTTGGATGTAATTGAGAAAAGTATAAGTCATACCGAAAAATAATATATATATAATAACCAAAAAACCGAAAAAAAGAATCACCAGCTAAATATTTCACCTTGATGATCATGATCTAATCTCATTTGTTCATCAAGATGGATAAATCCAGGATTTAAAGTAGTTCCATTAATACCATTAGATCCTATTATATTGTTATTCCCATGATTAAAGTTCCCAGCAAATGAGTTGAAAACACTTTGTTGTGGTGGATTAAAACCTGTGAATTCATCACTTTGAAATTCAGATTCACCTAATTGATTTGAATCATTATTATAAAAAATAGATGTATTTGGTTCACTTGCCATTCTTCTTAAAGCACCAAATTGTGGTGGATGAGGGAAGTAATTTAATGATGGGAATGATTGAGTTCTAAAGTTTGAATTGAATGAAGCAACTGATGCAGTTGATGCTGATGATGCATGTGATTGGAATGATGAGGTTGATGTAGCAGATAATGGTTGAGAAAGTGGAATTATTTCATCATCTTCTGGAATTTCTAATGTTGTATCTTGTTCTTCTTCTTTAATAGGATCAGAACATTTATCTAAATATTGGATTTCAGTTTCTGGTGTTTGATTTAATGGATTTGGTAAGTAGAGACGTCTTGAAGATGTTGAAGAAGAATCATTAGATTTTGTAAATTCCCAAAGTAAAACACCTCTAATGTCATTTATTTGGAAATTAGAACTTATAGGTTTTGATTTTGATGATTGTGAAGAGGAAGGTTTTGATAAGGTTGGATTTTTGGCATAAACAATTTGTTTCATTGTTATAGCTTTAACAGCTATGGTTTTTTGGGTTTCAGATCTGAAAACGTCATTACAATCATTAATATTATTTTCAACACTTCTCAAAAAAGCATTCCAAAATTCTTTGGCAAATGGTAATTCCAATGTATTGTTTTTATAGTTTAATGGATCTAATTGATTTTTGGATTGTTTTAAAACTGAAACATCATCAACTAATCTTATAACTTCATTACCAAATGAATAGATAACTGTAAGACATCCAAATTCTTCTTCTTCAATTGGAATGGATTTCAATTCAACTTGTAATTTGGTATCATGTTTACCATCAACTTTTTTATCTAAAGGAGGTAAATTCAAATTAACCATACTATGTAAAATTGGGATTTGTAATTCTTGAGGATTATTTGTAAGATAATAATCATTCAAATGTGGGAATCTATTTGATATATTTGCATCATGTTTCAATCTTAATGCTTGATCTAATTTATTTGAAGATAATTTTGTGAAAATATGAGAATTTGCTGGATCTTCATAATCAATAAATTGCATTTCAAATTTTTTCATATTGAAATCAATTGGTTTAGAAATTGGACCTCTTTGTTTGAATTTTTTTGGATTTGTTGGTGTTGATTTTCTTGTATTTCTTGATTTTGGTCTTGGTGTAGAAAATCTCATACTATCTGTTTCTGATGTTGCAGAGGATGATGATATACTTGTATTAGCAGTTGATGGAACACCACCTCCAATAGATTTTTGGAATGATATTTCACTAAAGATTTCATCAAATTTCTTGACAGCTTCAGGATCTGATGGACCATTATTTATGAGTTGTATCAAATGGGTATTCTTTTTCAAGTTTTTGATGACTTGAATATGACTTGAAACTTGTTTTCTTGTTCTTGTTTTACCAGTTTTTTGATTAATATAATCGGAAATCAATTCATTTCTACCACATGATTTACCACTAATTTTGATTTTTGTTAATCCATTCTTTGGAATTATTTTCAAAGCTTCTTCAAAAGCTTCTTCAACATCTTCACTCCATATGTTACCATCACTGACATCTTGTTGTTGTTGTTTTCTAGTATTTGGAGATCCATTGAAAGCGTCATATTCTTTATTATCAACATGAGCACCACCGATGTTTTGTCTTTTGTTTTGATTCAAAGAGTTTGGAGAAATGGTTCCCAAGACACTTCTGATTGGAGTAACAGCATTATCATCTTCTAAAGAATCTTCATATCTTCTTTTTCTTGAGTCTCTGCTTGGTTGCACTTGATATATTTGTTCCCCTTGGTCATTAATGGAAATATCCACAATCATAGGTTTACTCTTTCTACTGCGTTGAGCTGAGCTTGGTGGAGTTACCATATCATTGAAGACTGAAGGCAATAGCTGCTTTGTAGTCATCTTGTTGTTGTTTATGGATATAAGTTGTTGTTAAGATGAAAAATTGTTATATTCTAGTTTTGTTATTGTTGTTGTGATATAAATATCTTTGTTATTGTTTGCGAAAGGGGTGATGAGATAAGTACACTGGAGCTTGTAGTCTTTGTAATGAGTGTCTGTAGTTGGCTAATGAATGAATGGCTCTTGATGCTTTGGTTGAACACACAGCCTTTTGATAGTTTCTTCAAACTTTTCACAATTGGGATATCTGCTGATATATATAGACGTTCTGGATCTTTATCACTTTTTCCCGTCCTCGAGTGCTGAAAAGCTCTGCAAGAACCACAGCTTTCAACTTACAACTTCTCAGCGCCAACTTCCATTCAAAGTCAAGAGACAAAGGTGATCCCGATTGACAAGTCTGTGGTGGTTCTACTTTTTGCTTCTGTTTTCGCTTTGATGTACAAGGTCCAGAAAGTTGAGTGCTGCAAAGATCCTCAGTACAGCAGACGCGGTTTGTCCAGCAGGGGTGTGTTTACGTTTGTCCCATTGCGGAAGGACAAAAACAAACGCAGACAAATCGTTTTCAGGTACCGATCCAAGACGGACAATGGACATTTATGGACGTTTATGGACATTTGTGGACTTGTAACTTGTAAGTTTCAAGTAGTAACTGGTTAGCTTGGGTATTGTTAAAGCTAAGTATGGTTAGTAGCAGTTGCTAGCTACTATAAGAAAGAAGTTATCACTATCAGGTACTACTGTAGCTTATAACGAGTATCCGAAGTAAATTGGAGGCATAATATCAAGAATCACTCAGGCTTTGGAAAAAACTTTTCACCTCTCGTGGCCAGAAACATCGTCATCTAGTAAGTTATTCAAGTTTCAACCTTAAAGTATCACGTTCATATGTGTTAACTGTTAAATAGCTTATAAAATAGTTGAGGATTAAACAAGTTATATCAAGTTACCAAGGCCTACAACCTCTAAAGGTTGTAAAGGTATAAAGGTCAATATCAAATGTCCATGTATGTTAAATTGTGTCGTATTAGGCAATATCCTTGAATAATCAAGATCGCCCTTATGCATACGATTCTCAAGTGTACTTTCTTTTAGCACAAAAACGTTGAGATATATCAATCAAAAATATGCTTGTAAAGTTGGCTAAAGTATAAAGTACATCAATCAATTTAGTATATTTCCAGTAGTATTAAACCCTTGGCTTAATCTTTGAACTATCTAAATAATTTTTTACTTTATCACTAGTTGATGATACCATTGTCCATGAGCCTAGCCAGTAACCATCCAATTGTTTTTACAGGTATATTTTCGTACATTAACACGTTCAACATGAGCCTTTACAATAATCAGGCGGTTTTCGCCTTTCAATTAATACGAAAGTTAAATGCTATACGTATCTCATAAGTATATCTGATCATTGATGTCATTCGGTGAAGTTGACTTTTAGTTTATGCCACTTTTCTAAAACGTTTTGTCGGTAATTAAATTTCATCGTCTAAGGCAGTCATAAAGCTTATAAGTTATAACTCGATCACAAACTTAGGGGTACTACAATTTCACACCAGCTATTGGCCAGCTTGAGTCGTTAAATATCATGGCTAAAAATTAGATTCGTTAATCTTGTGTGTACTTCATGTATACAAATCTGGTTAGACTTAATTTGTGGATCATGTATACAACAATATGTACACAATTTCCGCTGTTATATAACTGATTAAGAAACTTTTAACACATTACTGTGGTTCATGATTCGAACCGAAAAACATACATTATTGATCCTTACTCCATAAACGTTTTGGGTTATCGCATAAACCTAATTCAGAAATCCATCGATCTTATATTTGGATGTATACCAAGGCTATGGTGATTCAATATTATAACTCGCTTATAAGTTACGACTTTTAAGATAGACTTTAAAAGCCATAGCTGATATATATTATACCGAAAACGACCACCTGGGATTTATTGCTTCTAGCAAATATTATACCCTTCAAGCTCAAAGAATTGTTTAAATGGACTTGTCAGTTCAGTGACTGTATAAGAAACCATCAATAATACTGCTTCTGTACCATATCTGAATGACCGTACCTTAAAGATTTAACAAGTTGTACAGCTTCGAATAAGAAAGAGTGAAAGGTAATTTCACTTTTAAAACTTTGATTGATCAATGTAATACTAGTATACCCAGCTTCTTAAAGAAGATTCCAACTATCATAAGCCTTAATTTGTCATGAAATTTAATAGCTTATAAGGACTTCGCTAATACTCATGGATCAACCTACGATGTTACCTGTCAATTATATTCTTAATGATCATTCAAAGCTATTAATTATCTTCAGGTTGGACCGATGACCGAACTATTTTTCCATGATACTACTATCTGTCAGCTAAGGACTGATCGAGCGTCTTTTATGACTGCAGTTTACGTTATATTATATGAAGTGCAATCTCAATAATTCAATATATAGCTGGTGTAAATTTAAAAATGTTACCCATGATCAACGTATGGTGGTGTCTTTAATATAAAATTTAAATTTGTAGTAATTACTGCTCGTTCAAAGCCAATCTCGATCATCGAACCTCAATTGAGCATGGCTCAAAGCTTAAGAAATATATTATACTTTCACTATGGCTTTTCATCATGATTCATTATCATTGATTATATTCATAAATACGCGGGCTTTAATTTCTTAGATCCGGAAACTAATTACTATTCGATCTGTTGATCTTAATTCAATTGAGTAGAAATTTTCAATTTAGACAAATGATGAACAGTTAACTAATAAATAGAGAACAGAACAGAACAGACTAGTAAGGTTCTCGAAAGAAATAAAACTATGGACAAATTTAAAAATTGACATCCTTAGCTGCAACTTATCTCTCAAGTTGTGGGTTGAACTTGTGCACTTATTTAATCTGCAAAGCATAACCTAACATTTTACATGCATAAAGCACATATATCTTACCGTTCCTTGAGTCGTCATGACTACCCAAGATTGAAATTTGTGGATCTTGAAAATTTGACTCTTTTAAATGTTAAAACTATACTCAATCTTTCAAAATCAACATAATCGGACTCTTATTCGTACATGAAGTGTCATATACTGTGCTCTTGATTTCTCGAAGATTATCGAACACAATCATTACTACTCTACCTCAATAGTATACACGACAATTGGGTGTTCTTTTATATCGTATTATACAGCACCTGGGATTACGTCCATGTATATTAATCAACAATAAAAGCTCAGCTAGCTTAATCTGTACCAGTGTAATTAAAAAATATATATTTAAATCACTTCACACCTTACACTATGAAGATCGATCCATATATTTTTCGGTCATTTGAGGGGATTGAAAGAAAGAGGCCTGTTGCAGCATAATGTTGTACAATTAATATAACTTGTAAGGTTCTAACTAGCTATACATCAGGAATCAACTGACTAATAAGGGTAATTGAAAGTTTGTCTCGTGGTTATGAGCTTAAATCAAATTATTGTAACTCACCTATCATGATGTTATTGAAAATTTTTCAATTAATCGGCTGTAAATAGACATACACACACAATTATCACAAGATCTTTAAGGAAACACTAATATCATGGACTGATTTGAAAAACTTTTACCCATCGTGCTTAAGATAGGTATCTACTTTTAGAGCCACCTATCATATCTTGCAACATGGTGGCTCGTCTATTTTTGATAAGGGATCTGTAAACCGCTTAGTTGCATGAACTTATGCGCTTCAATAGACACTAGTTCTGTTTTCAGCAATATGTATCACCAAATTGGAAAACTCTTCAATCAAAAATCTTATTTCAGATCTCAAAAAGATCCCAAAGTGTGCTTGAAGAATTATCGTATCATCAATATAGCAATATAAGCTTGTCAGATGTACTTGCTAATCGGTTTATGATTTATAATATGTTCATGTTAATATCTGTTGTCGTTTTACATCACGCTGACTTTTGAACTACCAACCACTCTCATTACCTCAGAAGCTACATTTAGGTATAGTAATTCAACAATCTATACACTATAATATTGCGAAGGATCTGATTATTAACAACGCAGTAGGCAGGTGTGCTAGCTTCATGATTGTACGAGTTTTCACCCACATAGTGATATTTTCAATTTTTGTGATATAAGATCAGTTACGCTCAGTTACACTAATACACAGAAGCTGGACATCTATTATCTATGATGACTTCCGTAGTAGAGTTCAGGAGACGTCTCTTCCAAGAAGCAGTTCTACAAAGCTACAAACAAAGCGCAGCTGCAACTTGCGCTATCATTTTGACAATACAAGCTCTGCTAGCTAATGCAAGCTGGTTAGCTTGTCAGCTTTCAAAGCTGGACAGTTTGAATTGGTCAGTCACGACTCACATGTGGCCGGTCTTCTCAAGCATTATATACTCAGCTATTTTGCAAAGCATCGATCAAACCATTGCACGACGTATTATATTAATAATTATAACTATCAAAGTTATATATTCTCGAGTAAATATAAAATATATATATATCAAGTTTATCCAGCTGATGGACAATTAACGGACGCTAGCTCTAAGGCTTCAAAATCGAAGTAATAACGGTTTAAGCTTCGGTCTACTAAAGAGCTTCCTGATGTGTGATTTACAAATTTCAACTACACGGTATAGTACTAATTACGTACTACGTATTAATTTTCAAATAAATTTAGCCCAGATGGTAAAGATTAAAATTTATGCGAGAGGCGACCGTTGTCACTTGTGTAACTGCATGTATATATTATGCATTAGGATCAACCTTATTATGCGGCAGGCGCAACTTTAAATTTTTTTGCCCGCAAAATCTTTTGATACTTACGCAGTGCGCATCGCGCAGTACTACTAATTTTTCCGATTTAATTTGTCAAACCAGATACGTCCTATATTTCATAGAACATAGAAACCAGAATTGTCACCATAAAAAGTGTTTGAGAACTTTTTTGATGTATTGGCCCTATGATACATTTATACATTGAAATCAACCTCATGAAAAGATTGAATCTATATGACTGACCTTCTCCTAGAATAAATCTTTATAATTTAACTGATGGTTTTGTCCCTTTTGATCCTAAGTTCTAACTAATTTAACGACATTTAATCGACAATCGGTACCTTTTTCGAGTAAGTCAAATGCCCAAAAAAGGAAAGATGTACTTTCTATATTGGGATATGCGAGTAGTAGTACCTATTTGACGCGAGATTAAACTTTATTTCGGGGGATGTTAAATTAATAGTTATGTATTAGAAATTGCCAGATCAGTTATAAAGTTATATTCAACTCAGTAACTTTACAAGGATAATATCATATATGTATATACTGCACTTATACGACTTGTATCTAAAGTCTTGAACTCATATATTTGGACGTATCCAAAAAATAACTAGCTGATCGGAAAAGCAAGCTATATTTTATAATATCATGTATATATATATATATTATCGATCAAGATGAGCTGATAAACTGTAACTAGATATATATCATACACCGATCACGTCTCCATATAATATAAGTATAACATCACATAGTATGTACTTGCGCTAATAATGCCGTATATAGTTATATATATATATATATAATATTAGCTCAACTGTCCATGGCTTTTTTTCAAATGTACGTACTACTAGACTAGCTACTATCTATATTCTTATACATGAGTTTATTTGACCCGTCAGCTTAATTCAACCTGAAGGCATTGAAACTATAAGAGGTGAAATCCACGGAAGGTAACATGTTAAGGCTTCCAAACCAGAGAAGATTCAATTAGGACTAAAGGCGTGGTTTTCGCTAACGCCCCGTTATAGACACCTGTACTTTGATCGAAAATTTGTGACTTATCACAAGTACCGTTCAAGATCTAAGGATCAAGTCAATCGGCTCAAATATGGCTTTATTATGTTTACGTACTTATATATTCACATAACTTCTTGAGCTAAGGTTACAGCTGGCATGTTAGAATAATATAATTTATTTATTTTGCTAATATTTTTCCTCTACGGTCCAGTTAAGTACGCGTCAATCGTGTCTTACACCTCGAAACTTTGTGTACTTATTCGCATCTCAGACATATGTTGATGAAAAAAACGTTAGAATCTTAAAAATTGATTAACAGCTGTAATTTATACACTCAATTAAAAGCTGACTCGTGAAACTTCTTTCATGCTCTACTTATAAAGGGTGATAACTTACATATCGAAGTCAATTTGAAATATATCACGTTGATACACTGAATTTGTTGGAATTTCAGACAGCAAATGAATACATATATATCTAGGTGCTTGGAGAATAAGTGACTTTTTAATATAAAATATGAGCATTCCATATATTGAGCATACCTTCTGCTAATTGTAGAATAAATGGTTCATCGTTATGGTTTGGAAATTGGTGATGCGTTTAATGTGTGTCAATTCGAACATACGGATTATTGACGGAAGATTAACCAGCAATATGATGATGAACGAACATCTCAGTCTGGGGAAATATATTATAACGAATTAGACGAGACATATCCTTGAAGCTTCAATGGGCGCCATTCGATTGACTGATACACTTTGGAATCTTTGGCGTTTTGCCTCTCAAAAAATTACACGTCTATCTGAGTTCGTGGCTTACCAACAAGTAGATTTCAAAGTGTCATGAGTATCGTTACAAGCTAAGGAAGCCCTAGTTTTTAATTTTAAATTCAGTCCTTCAGATACCTAGAAGAACCTTGCAAGTTCTTTGTCATACTTGAGGTCAGGTTGAAGGAAGTGTCACAGTCTACAGAGTACAATACTTTCCCAATCATCTTCTTAAGAATGCCATTAGAGGTGCGTTGTGGTGCTGCATGAAATGATGTACAATCTAAATAGGAAACAAATCACAGTATTAAGTATTAAGCTTATAGTGTAAACTAATCGCCCTCGTTACAACTTTGAGTTTGTAAATGTAAATTGTAAATTGCAAATTGCAAATTGCAATCTCAATTTTAAAGAATAACAGCTTTAATGATGTTCAAGGTTTTGTATAAACTTCCTCGGGGACATTTATATACAGGCGCACAGTACATGATATTCGTGATCTGTAGATTTGTATGCCCTTTTGTCTTATATTTTTTTACTTCAAGTTAGCGTAAGCTGTATATATATATAATAGCTCAGCATATATTTGATTGAAAATGCTCAACATATATGCCTAATTATCTAGAGAATGAGCATAAAAATGCTTATTGACATGCTGTTAAAGTGCGAAAGTAAGAATATTAATGTGAACCTATGTAAGATAGCCAGCCTGATCCACCTTTGTACAAGCTATTGTTGCTTAGCTGGGCCCGTTTAAGTAAATGAATATTACTTGAAGTGGATAACAAACTGATGAGATGTAATATTGAGACAAAATAGATACATGAAAAAATATATGCTAGATGTTTTTCACAATTCTTTAGACATTTATAAAAACCTCATATCTACCATCGGAATGCTAAGCTATTGCAGTAATAGTACTTTAGAATATCTAGGCTCCGGATAGTCATCAACTGCTCATTTCAGCATGTGGGCTTCACTCAATTAATAGCTGCTGTGTTGTCAAGCAATGTATTGCCGAATATTACTTTTTCTAACCATCATCGTACGTGATGTATACAGCAATATCATAATAGCATCAGCTATCTATAAATATCAACTCTTTGCTAGTTGCTCTTTGCAAATCAAAATAAGGATGATCATTTTATCAAGAAGTAATGTAATTGTGACATTGTGGCATGGTAAGTCAAAGCTATATGTTATAAGTAACATCTGTAAGACATGTATTAATGTTGGTCATTTTTGAAAAATTGGATACCTATCTAAAGCAGTAATCTATGATCTTGAAAAAAAAAACACAAGTACGAATTTGATTTCCAGCTGTCCATCAACAATTATTTTGATGATTGGTTGTGTGAATTTATTGGCCTTCTCAAATATAGTTTATCATCTATGTGGCTAAGTGCTTTCACTTGTAACTAAAGGGTGGAGAGCAATTAGCTAACATGATTTCGCCATACAAATTATTTCTTGCTCCCAAATACCTTACATTTGAAAACATTAGAATATCATTTACAATGAAGTTTTAAGCGTATGATACATGGTATATATTAAAGTTCTATATTTACGATTGATTGATCATGAAAAATCTTCATCATCAGAGTTCAAATATTGTGAATAATCATCAGCAGATGCGAAAACAGGTAAGTCACTGAATTTAGATTTCTTAGATTTCTTTGAAGGTTTAGCTTCTTGTTTGGTTTCTTTGAATGAACGTTTCTTGGATTTTGGAGCTGGTTCTTCTTCAGATTCTTCATCAACTTCTTCATCTGACGCGAGTTCATCTTCAGAATTACCTTTGAATAATTCAGCTTCGTTATCATCATCTTCAGCTTCATCATCATCGAATTGTGGTCCTTTGAAATCATCTTCAATTTCACTACCTTGTTCTTGTTCTTCTTCGTCTTCATCTCCATCTGAATCACCAATAGCTTGTAATTCAAAATCTGAACTATCTTCATCTTCTTGTTGTTCTGTAGGTTGTTCTTCGCCTGCTTCAGCTTCGGCTTCTTCATCTTCATCATCATAATCACTGAAATCTTCTTCGTCTAAATCACTGAAATCATCTAAACTATCTTCATCTTCACCTTCAATTTCAGGTTGTGATTTAACTAAGGCATCCCAAACTTCTGCATCATCTAGATCACTTTCTTGATCGAAATCTTCTTCTGCAGGTTCACCACCAGCCAATTGTGAAGGATCTTTTTCTTTTGTTGTGAAATATTGATGGAAGAATTTTTCATCTGGTCTAACATCATCAACTTTCTTAGCTAACCAATCTTCAGTGTTAACAGGAACTTCTGGGTTGATTTTATTTGAAGCTTTAACTAATAATGAACCAGTATGGGCACCACCAAGAGGTTGCATAATAGATGAACCTTTAGTAGTTGGTTTTTGTTTGGCATTACGATAAACAAATCTATCCAAGAAATGACTTAGTGTGAATAAACCAAGATCTGGTTTGGTTTGTTTTTGTTGATTCAAGAAACTTTCAGCGTATAATTGAACAGTTGGATGATAATGATTCAAAAATTCATTGATTTCCCATAATGATGAATTACCAGCATTAGCAAATCTTGGATCACGTTTACGACCATCATATTCTAAGTCTTTAGCTGGTTTAACTTTTTTAGCTTCAGTTTCTTTGGTTTTAGAATCTTCATTATCAGAATCAACATCTTTGAAATTTTCTTCTTCTGAATCTTCATCATCAACATATTTATGATCAACTGGTGTATTTAAAGCTAAATTTCTGATTTGTGGGATAGATTTTTCTAATTCCATCAACAAGAAGAACATACCAGTGATTGAACCAACATTAACCCAGTTATAACAAACTTGGACAATTCTTTTAACAAAAGCCATTGTTCTTGATGTATTAGCATCTTGTTTCAATGCTTTATATAATAAATTCAAATAAATACCTTGTTTTGAAGATGAAACTAATCTTGGATCAAATAAACTTTCATATAAAGTTCTATAGAAACGATCAGAATTCAAATTTTGAGTTTTAACAATTTGTGAAATTAAAACTAAAGCTTGAACAGAGGTATTAAAATTACTTGAATGTGTAATTTTATATAATGTTTCTAAATGTTTATTGAAAACATCAGTTGGTAAGTTTGAGAATGGGAAAGCACGATTCAACCCAGTTAATAAAGCAGAAAATAACTTTGAATTTTTTTCTTCTAAAACTTCTTGTTCAGATTTTTCAGCTTTAATTGATTTACCACCTTTTTTACCCTTTTTGAAATTTTTCTTTCTATTTTTATAATTATTATCTTTTGAATCTCCAGATTTCTTTTCAACTTCAACATTGTTTGGATCTGATTCAATTAATAATTTTTCAAATAATGCAAAATATGTCTTTACAAGAACATTAGCAACTTCATCTTCACGTCTTGTTAAGATTGTTTGATTTAATGTCAAGACAGAATAATATTTGGTATGATAATCACTATTTTGTTTGAAGACGTTATCAACGACTGCATCAATAACAATTTTTTTCATATTTGGATGTGCTTGTTCTAATTGTAAAATTTGGTATGAAGTTTTAGAACTAACTTTATTATCAATATCACCAATTTTATTACAACCTAATCGTAGTAAATTGACTTCTTGTTCTGGTTTATTCTTCAATAAATCAAAAATATGACCAACAACATTCATTCTAACATGGATAATTGGATCATGAGATAATCTTTCTAAAATTTGAATAACTTTGAAAAAATATTGTTTTAAATAATCTTCAAAATAGAAAATAGCTAATTGTTTCTTGGTTAACATATTACTCAAAGGTTGATTTTTGAAATATCTTAACTTTCTATTTGGTAATAACCCATTGATGAGTAAATCCTTTAATGCATTTAATGATTGTAAAGCAGAATTTCTTGATTTTTTAGAACAAAATCCTAATAAAGTATCTAAAGATTTTGTATTATGTAAAGGAGCTTCTTGAACTAAAAGAGTTAAAGCAGAAATTTTATCATTTAATGTACCATCTGATAAAATTTGTGACAAGAACTTTTTTTGTGATGAAGTTTTAGAAAATTCTTCATAATAAGTTGAATTATCAGTTTCTAAAGCTTCTTTACCCTTTTGATATAATCTATCAATTTGAATTTGTGATAAAGAAGTAGCATCTTCTGATAATTCAATTGGGATGTTATACCAATCAATACGTGGTGGAACTATAAGTTTTGCACTATTAAGTATAGATGTAGTTTCAATTCTTTGATGTAATGGAGCAGCTTCTTCTTTTTCTTCTGGAGCAGCTTGGAAAACGGCAGTATTATCATGTTCAGTGAAATCTTCAACTTCTTCTTCATCATCTTCTTCTTCTTCGAAAGGTTCTTCTTCATCATTGTCTTCGTCTTCTTCAACTAATTCAGGAGCTTCTTCTTCTTCTTCCTCAGCTTCTTCTTCTTCAACTTCAGAATCTTCAACAACTTGAACTTCACCTTTACCTAAACCAATACCTTGCATGAATTTAGATAAATCATCTTTAAATCCATTTTCTAATTTCTTATCATCATTATCAAATTCTTGTTCACTATCTTCATCATCATTAACACCATCTAATAATTTTAAATCTTCTTCAGTAGCGCCCAATTCCAAAGCTTCACGACGTAAGATATCAGCTTGTGATTCACCTTGTGGTTGATCTTGTTTCTTATTAGCAGGTTTATCTTCTTTGGTATTCTTATTATCAGATTTCTTTGGTTGTCTATCATTTGAATTATTTTGATTCTTTAAATCTTTATCTTTATTATTCTTATTATTTTTTTGTTTTGATTTCTTATCAGGTTTAGATTTCTCATTTTGTAATTTACTAGAGACTTTATCTCTTAACCCAGATAAATTAATCTTAAGACCATCCATCTTGATTAATCTAAAGTTTGAAGTCTTTAATTTATACTGATTAAACTCTATTAACTATATATTTTAATATGTACATAGAAATATTTTTTTTAGGAAAATTTGAAATAAGGGTAACCTCATCGCTTGCGCGCTTTTGAGTGGTCCTACCGGATATTTCAATGCGATCAAAAGACCTTTAAAATGAAATGATTTACCAAAGATTTAATAGATTTGAATTAAATATCAGTTGATCTTAACAAAGCAAGTTCACTGTTGGTCTGGTTGAGTTCTTCAGTAATCCTTTCCTGAACAATATAATCTCAAAGTATTCTAGAATCTTATCTCATGAACAATAAGTCTAATTACAATTATCGAAAACTACAATATACTAGATCTATTCTATGACATGCAAACCTGTATTTACAACTCCCCAAAGTTAACCATTAAAAAACATCTATTATTTTTGTTGTATAATTAAAGCTGATGGAATCTAGATGGCGTATTTTTTGGTCCATTCTTTAGCATTCTTTTGATAAAGTTCTGGATTTGATTTGTAAATATGTGCAATTTCTGGTACTAAAGGATCATCTGGATTAGCATCTGTTAAAAGAGAACAAATAGAAAGAAGCACCTTTGAGATTGTTAAAGCTGGTGACCATTGATCTTTTAATATATCTAAACAAATGTTACCATTTGAGTTAATATTTGGATGATAAATTTTAGTTGTAAATTGAATTTTTGGAGGTTTGAATGGGTAATCTGTTGGGAAATGAATAGATAAAAAGAAAACACCACCGGCGTATGGAGAATCTGATGGACCCATAATGGATGCTTGCCAATGATATAAATCGTCACCAACTGGACCAGCTGAACATGAAGATGGGGGATCTCTAAATTCATTGTTAGTATCAATAGTTCCAAATCAAGAAATAAAACATTATTTAGTGTATCAGGTTGTAAATCATAGAGTAGTAGGTTTGGTTGTTGATGTTTGATTGATTTTGATATCTTTAGTAAGTGAATTTGCCATCAAAAAAAAATGGTGATATTTGAAATGTCATCAAAAACATGAAAACAAAACATCAACATGAAAACAAACCAAAATAAACAAAGCGGTATATCTCTATCTTATACTATTAGATCTGATCCTTAAATACTTCTTCTTTTAAAACTTTGAAAACACCCTTGTTATGAATCATAAGTTGAAAATGACAGACGACCAATAATTGAAATCAATAACCGCTGTAGTTCACACACAATAAACAAACAAACAAACCTTGCCGCCACCAATGATAACAATCCCTTAACACTATCTGAACTCTCACTTACCTTCCTAAGTCGTTTAATTCTTTTCCGATTCTTTTTTGAGACATTTCTTGATGTTATTTATGTTGTTTTAATTAAGATATGTTTTTGACGTATCAAATATCTGAAGTTTTAATTAAAGAAAGAAAATCTCCTAATTTTTGAAACTCTTGTGGCGATAAATTTTCAACAATTTTGGACGAAGCACAATCAATTTTGGTAAAATTCTGGAAAGATCGTACAAAGTCGGATCTGTATTAATTAAGTATAGGGAGATCCGACCTTTGACACGTGAAAGAGGAGGGTAAATGAAGTCATGTGATTTTAAAGTCAGGGTAAATTTTGGACTAAAATATTAAGCTGTACTAGTACTAACTTCTAAGTCTAGTAGTATAGTTTATATGCACACTTGACTCAAATTTATTCATGTTGGTGTTACATTGTTACACAACTTTAACACTTTCTACTTTTAACTATGACTGAGTTCTAATTGACCAAATTTCAAATGAAATTCCCAATATCTGAGATTTATACATGTCAATGAAACGGTTCTTGACACCTTAGAATAGAGATATTGACCTCTCTTATAATGAATCAACACTGTACTAAAGTTCTATTATGATTTAAATACTTTAGTTTATTGATCTTGAAGCTATTTACCATGGTTTTTATCATTTTAATCCATTACATAGCCATTTTATCAGATTAAAATACATTTGATTACTTGCGCCAAAACGAGCTGATTAGATCTAGACATGATCTAAACCACAGATTGTTCAATTCTAAATTTCCTATAGTTGTGGGTTGTGTATGGTTATATTGGATCAATTAATGACTCCTCAAAAGTACTTTGTTTGACTATTTGATTGTGATATTGTGATCACTGATTATTTATGTTTCGACTTTCACTGAATCAAGATTACAAAATTTACTTTATTAATCGATACGTAGTATCTCGGTAAAGTACGCCTTCGTGTGGATTAAGTACAACCTGCGTACTAATACTACATGCTTTAAATTAAACTCAAATCAAAATTTAATTAAAAAACGTGCAAGTTTAACAATAACGTCTCAATATTTATCAGTCCGCAATTAATATTCACGGTCTTGATTAATTTGAGGATCAATGTTAACGGTTTTAATCTTTTTCGTTATTTCTATCTGTTAAGTATGTGCATGTGCTACCAGTGGCTACTGGTCACACTAGAGCACTTAGCCGGGTCAACAAGTTTTTAATGCCTTTCAGTTTCTAAACATAGATTTTAGACATATCTGGATTCTGTGTTAGTTTAATTTACAATTCTAGTTCAAACTTCAAACAAATACCGTACAATTAAAACTAGTACCTTATATAAATAGGCCCTTGCTCAAAAGTCAAACCTGGGTAGAGCAGCATATATGTTTAACAATTGAAATGAAACGTCGAAGAAAAAAACTAGCACAAGACTTTGACCATAGCAATATTCATTCGTAGTACAAAACAAGAAATATATACCACATATATTACATCACTCCATCACTTCATCAAATTCTTTTCATTCAAAAGTATATGATTTGTTTGTCTCGTAACTTTATAAGTACCAGGTATCTTTCGCATTTTTTCAGTTATGAAAAGAACGATTTTCTGCGAGTTGGTGCAACTTTGTGCATAAATCAAGCCATTAGTTGTCAATGTTGATCTGGAAACAACTAGATATTTTGGCACGATTGGCATGATCAATTACTATATTTATATAGTGTGACGCCATTAATGTTGTCCTAACCGCTAAATAGAATGCCTTTGTCGCAGAAACTGTCCATAATCGGTATCCTGATTGCGCAAATTGTGTTCTTCTGGAAGGACGAAAACCCAAAAAACAAAAAAAAAAGAATTCGGTTCCCATGAAAGAAAAAAAAAGTGTCTGGTTCTTTGTAAGAGTAGAAAAAAGCCCTTGAGCTTGAATTTATTAAAAAAAACAAATTGATTAAATTGTATCTATTTACTTTTCCATCTACAACAACTCAATTCAAAAGGCTAAATAACCAGGATCAAAGCGGTTTATTGTTTGCTCAGTGATTGCACACTTTTTTTTTATACATCAATCCTCTTTTGCTACTTAGTTTTCAGGCTTGTATTTGGGCTATAGTATTAGAAGTTTTCCCTATAACCAAGTTCACCACATTTCAAATTCAAATTAAAAAGTTATTATTTATCAAAGACAAAAAGATCAATAGAAACAAATTTCACAAGAACGATCTGATCATGACAGACAATTTCTATTCATTTGATGATACAGATGCTCTTTTAGCTTCTTTATCTAGCTCTTCAGCAACCACACTTTCACCTTCTGATAATGGTGAATTCAGCAGCGGTAATAGCGCTAAAGCTTCATCTTATGGTTATTCACCTGAAAATGATTTCCTAACAGATGAATATTGGGGTAATCAAGTTGATGGTCAAGACTCAAAGACTTTAAATGATGATTTTTATTCAAAAGATTTTGTAAATTTTGATGGTGAAGACAATTCCAATATTAAAACTGAAATTCAAAATGATAATGGATTCCAATTTAACAATAATGATACTACTACATTTGATATTCCAAAGATAAATACTGATCTTAAATCTCAAGAATCTGAAACGCCGTCACAATATAATGATAATAATCAATTACCACAATCTCAATCTTTAAAGAAAGAATCATCATCAGAAGAAAGTGATTTCTCACCAGAAGCTACAACAACTACATATTCATCATCTGCATCAGCATTAAAGAAAACAATAGGTGATAATAACAAGATCACTAAACCAAAGAAAACCAAAGCTACACATAATGTTATTGAAAAAAAATATAGAACAAATATTAATTCCAAGATAACGGCTTTAAGAGATGCTGTCCCTTCATTAAGATTAGCTGCAGGTGATGTAAATACTACTTTAAATGATTTGGATGGGTTATCACCAGCTGCAAAAGTTAATAAGGCAATTGTTTTAGAAAAAGCTACTGAATATATACAACATCTTGAAAAGAAAAACATGATATTATTAAGAGAAAATCAACAAATGAAACAATATTTGGGTAGTATACCAGCTCAACAACAACATTATCCTTCACATTTCAATCAACAAATTCCACTTCAGCAGCAGCAACAACAACAACAACAACATGATAACTTCCAACCTGCAACTTATAATGGTCAACAAGTAAATGTTGCAAATGCTCAACCTCAACAGCAATATCAAATGGGTGTACCAGCTCGTGTCTTGATGGGAGGTATGGCAACTATGGTTGGTCATAACATGTTTAATGGAGGTAATGATTTTAGTGATTATCGTGGATTATCAGCTTTCCCAATATTGGGTAATCCACTTTTTGCCAAACTATTACATATTATTCAATTTTCCTTTTTAGCTTCATCAGTTGTTTCTTTAATTTTCCCATCAATCTTTGCTTCATCAGATTCAAATCTAACGGATAAATCTGGTAAACCTCAACAAACAAGATCATCAATTACTTTACTTGAATGGTATGAATTAGTTAAAGAATTAGTATTTATTAGAATTGGTTCAAAGAGTAAACATTCTGCATCAGGTAATGAAATTGATACTTTAGTTAATCAATCATTATTAGGTAAATTTGGAAACAATTCATATTTCAGTTTAGTATTTTTATTATTAAGATTATTCACTTATGAAACATCATATGAAGTATCATTTGCTAAATTAGTATTGGCCAAATTAATTTTAACATATTCTGATTTTTCATTATTTTTCAATTTAAATTCTTTAGTGGAATTAAGTATTTCTGAAGTTGCTAATCAAAAAGTTTCAGATCCAGCTTTAAGACATTTTTTTAAAGAATTAAAAAGTCCATTGGCTAAAGATTCAGAAGCTTTCAAAAGATTATTAAATGTTGTTACTGGTTTACCAATCAGTACAAATTGTGAAAGAGGTGTTGAAGATAAAGGTTTCTTTTTAATTTTAAGAGATGATAGAATTTCTTTTGATTATAAAACTTTATTGGTTAGTTTTAGAGCTAATGAAGTTTTCCGTGAAGTTTTATTAGAATATATTAATTTAACTTTTAATAAAGAAGAAATCAATAAATTAGATAATGATGAACTAAAAGAAGGTAAAAAGGAATTATGGAATAAATTAATTTCTGCTGAAAATTTAGCACCAAAAAGATCAGTTGTTGATATTAGAATCAAATTATTTAAATCAATTTTGAATGAAAAATATGTTGATGGTGTTTTGAAATTAGTTAGTGAAGAATCAAAAGCATATACATTAAATCAAAAATTGAATGGTAATGAATCAAATACTAAATCAGGTGAGACTATATCAAGTCCAGTTGAAGAAGAAGAAGAAGATATCACAACATCAAAAGAAGAAAATGTTGATGGAGAAGATTTAGAAAAAACTGATGAACAAATTTATGATTCTGATGAATATTTTGAAGATTCTGATTTTGAACCAGAACCAATTACACCTTCAAATAGTTTTGATAATTCTAAAAAAAATAAAATTACTGAACAACCATTAATTAATGCTAAATTTCAAAACTTATTATCTCAAGATTTATTTAATGCATTAGTTTGTTCATCAATTTTAAAATATGCACATGCTGATCAACATGAACAAGTTTCTAAATTGTTGAAATATATTAGATTCAATAAAGATGAATTGACATTATTATCATTCATTTCATTATATAAATTGATTCAAAAATTTCCAAAAAAATGGGTTGAAGGTAAAGAAGGTCAAGTTATTGAAAATTTAGTTGCTCATTTAAGAGTTTGGATTGGTGATTCTAGTAATGGTAATTTTAATGATTTAAAAGAAGTTGGCTTACATTTGAAAAGAGAAATTAGTGATGATTTAGTTGAAACTGGAAAATCTTTTAATGAATTAAATTAAAATTTGGGTTATCAAAAAATCATAAAATCATTAATGACATTATAATTATATTATATTCATCAATTATTAAGACGTTCATACATGTTTTTGTAACATATACACTTGTTTAAAACGTTTTCTGGGGCTTCATTTTGTTCTGTTTTGTATTAGGTTGTTGTTTTTTTTCACATTTTATTCATTCTAACTATTTTATTTATAGTTTGTTTGTTTGTTTTTTGGGTATATTATGAATCATATATAAATCTTTTTCTATATGATTCATTTATTTCTTGGTATATCACTTTTTCAATATTCAATAGGAAGAGGATATGAATTGGATCATTTTAAATATTTTTAATTTCCGAATTTTAAATTTGTTTTTTAAGTTTTGTATAGGTTTTTATATTATTATTGTCTTATATTATCTGAATAAATGAAAATTGTTATTATGAATTATAGATCGATCTAATCGTAGTATGGGCTACTGTTTAAGTTTGAACGCGATCAATATATAGAAGTACACATATTAATTCAATGATATTGCATTAATCGTCAACATCATCAAAGTTCATCATGAACTATGGTTTGCTCTTCAGGTTCATTAGACACGTCACCATCATCCAAAACTTCCACTTCAATAACAGTCTCTTTATACTCATCAGAAGTTTTTTCGTCTGCTTTACCGTCAACACCTTCATTACTTTCAACGCCTTCATTGCCTTTATTTTCCTCATTCTCTTCATTTTTTGCATGATCTACTACCTTTTCCTCTGGATTATTATTTGAGTTATCATCTAATGAACTACTAACCACACCATTCTCATCCTCGCTAACAATTTTTTTGAAATTATGTTTCAACAGACTTAATCCTTCACGATTATAAGTCACCAGTTGACCATTTTCTCTCCATTGAATTTGTACAGTAGTTAAGTATTCACCTCTAACATTATAAACATAAGTTTCATACAGAAGTTTAGCAATTTGTGAAGTTCCAACTGGAGATCCAGGTGTTACTGGTATTTTAATTTTGGACGTCACTAAACCTTTTGCATATGCACTTGATAGTTTACCTAAAAGTTCATTATTAATATCTTCAGAATTTGTGATGAATATATTTGTTTTATTTTGATTGGTTGGTTTCCCCAGAAATATACCATTTCCAATTGATTCTAACTCATAATCCTCTATTGATATTTTGTCATCATGATCAGTAAATGATTTTTGAATCAATTTATCCTTTTCAATAAATTCTGTATCTTGATCAATAACTTTAGTACATTCAATTTCATGTATGATTTCTTCTTTATTCATACCAAACAAGTCATCCGAGCATAGTTGTGGTATTGATATCTGAGCATGATATTGACATGATTTATATTCCTTAACCCAATTTAAACTTGGATCAACATGTGATGGATCACACATAAATTGAATTTCAGCTGTTCTTGGTCTTCCTGTCAAATCACAAGTTGTACCGCCCTTCAAATTATATCGAAGAAACCAAACACCACCTTCCTTATGTAAAGAATAATCATTATAGTTATCACTTTTGTTCGGAACACCTAATATATATCTAACATTTTTGTTTTCTAAGAAATCTTTTTCCTTCCCATGAAATTGTGATAATTCTTGACCAAATTTAAATCCAAATGACCAATAACCTGAATTATGGAAAAGCCATGCATTTTCTAAAGTTTCCTTTATTTGTTTTACCGCTGTTTTGATCTTCTCACTTCGACTTTCTTCTTCAATTGTGGCAAATGGATCATGTTGATTATTACTTGAGACTTGTGGAATATGACACATATAATCTGTATTGGAAGATTGCATCAAGTAATAACTTTTGTTGACATTTGATGCACCAGTGAGCAGCTCATTTGACTCTTTCTTTGAGATTATCTCGTGGTCATTGAACTTTATTGAATACTAAGATTTTGGTTAGTCTTTTGTTTTCCTTCAAAACACCATATTGATTGAACTCACTTTTGGAGACGAATAGTAATCATCATATACGCTGAACAGTGCACTGGCCCCCTGTATCAGTAGGAAACCAGCTCCTGTGATCTTCACTGTGTTAATCTTCATCACTCTTTTGCCCTCTTAAATCTCCTTTCTGTTTGAATCTCAATCGGTTGTTGAAGTCAAGATCTTGTCATTAGATACGTAGTCCTCTCCCAGCTATAATTCTCCATTTTTTCGGAAAATCAAAATATTGAAGAAAAAACATGCTAACAAACCAAAACATCACGCTAAATCAACAACTACAATCACAGGTTCAACTAAGTTATTCGGTGGTGATTTGTTCTTCTTTGGAATTAAAATGGTGAAATTATTGGGTATCTCGTTTCTTGTGAGCTTTTTGCTCTCATTTGTGGCTGCTACTGCTCCAGTTCAATTATACGCACATTCATTAGAAAACACAGAGATCAACATCAAATTAGGTGTATTGACATATAACAAGACCGCAGGTGCCACAGAGATTATAGATACGGATGACAATTTGGAGCTTGAAAAGGGTGAATATTGCATCGGTGCTGAAATCAATGGAAATTTCGTGTGTCATAGTTATGTTCATGTATGTGTTTTTTTGATATTACTACTTTACAATTGAAGATTTGAATGAATTTACTAACTTTGAAATGACATAGCTTGAAACCCCATTAAGATATGAATTAATCATAAGTACTAAACCAGTTACAGGTGAATTAATATCACTTTCGTTAAGAAAAGGGGAACAATTGGGTATCAAGTCAATAATTAAACCAGCCGTACGTGGTGCTCAACCTGCTTCTAAAGAGGCCCCAAAAACCGTCAAAAATGCTGAAGGGAAAGAAGTTATTGAAGAAGAAGAAGTAAGTTGTTTTCAAAGCTTTCCATTGGGCTTATTTACTAACAATTTTATTAGCCTCCAAAATCATTTATTCAAAAATACTGGATGTATATCGTACCTGCTCTTCTTATGTTTATGGTTTCATCTGGTGGGGCTCAACAATAGAAAATTAATTAGAAAATACATACATTCATATATTTATAAAAGGACAATAATTTGTCTCTAAACCAAGATCTTGTTGTAGACTATATTGATATAAAAGTTACATGAGAGTGACGAAAAAAATATTTTCAACACATCTAATCCATCTAATATTAGTTTTACAGATCCATATAAATCGGTGCCCTATAACTTCAAAAATCAATATAAACATTTTTCAAATACATTTAAAAGCAAATTACAATAATTTCATAAACTTTCATAATATAATCTATTAATCTTAGTAATACTATTGTGTGTGATTATATAAGCCTTACTTAATCACTGACTAATATTTCCAATAAACATATGAACTTTATAGGTATAAATTGTAGGAACTTAAGCTATTTTAATACCTTCTAGTGTAATATTAATAGCATATTTGTATTCAATGTATTCAAACCATCTAAATTCAAGAAAAAAAAATTTACTAAATTTATTTAATTTCATCTTCAAATCAAATATAAAATTTTGGACGTTGACATTTTGAAAAAATCTATAAATTCTGAAAAATTTAAAATCAATTTTTCGAAGATCTAAGATATTAAATATATATTTCAAGGCTTGAAGATAATTAAAAAATAGTAAAATAGTATTGTTACTTATATAAAAGTTTTATTAATTTATGATTTAGTTTTCATCTGATTACATAATCCAGTGCGTTGTGATGACATAATCCAGTATCAGTAGGAGATCGACTTTTGAATTGTTGTGTTGTACATAGATTTATCTCATTTACTTGACATTTTCTCAGAAACTATACATCAACGATCCCAATAAAATTCTTAAACTAAACACATAGATTCAATTCAATATGGATAGATTCGGGTTTGGGAAGTCCAATAGTGGATCACCATCTGCACAATCCACAAATTCTGGTAATTTTGGTGGCGGATTAGTTAATAGATTGCCATTCAATCATAATAAACAAAGTTCAACTCCAGCAGGTCCTCCAAAGGTTTTAAGAGCTGCTAATGCTCCAGATAATAGTTATGCTCTGGGTAATTATGCCTCTGTTCATCCAAGTGATTTCCCAGATGGTGTTCATGTTGCTATAAATGATTTGTTTGTCTTTACTACTAGACATAATTCTGATAAGACTCAACCAGGTGAGATCGGTTTGAACGGTACTCAAAGATTATGGGTTGGATTAAGTCTAAATGAAGAAGTTGAAGTTAGAAGATATGATATTCAAACAGAAACTGGTAAACAACCATATATTGGTACATTAAATGTAGAAATTGGATTCAGAAATAAAGCAAAAGCAGTTCCAACTCAATTTGATCAAGATGATTTAGCAAAAGCTTTTATTAAAAATTTCGAATCACAAGTATTTTCTCCAACTCAATTATTATTGTTAGATTATAAAGGTACAATTTTTGAAATACGTGTTCAAAGTATTCAAGTTGTTGATTTGGCTGAATTGGAAAATAATGATCCACCAGTTTCAGATATTAGAGCAAAAGGTTTATTATTACCACAATCAATCATCAATTTTTTCAAAGGTCGTGATGGATTAGTCAATTTAAAATCAAGTTCCATTAGACCAAGATCAGATGCTATTATTAGACCAGATTTTAAATTTGAAGATATGGGTGTTGGTGGGTTAGATAAAGAATTTACACAAATTTTTAGAAGAGCTTTTGCATCACGTATTTTCCCACCTTCAGTTATTCAAAAATTAGGTATTAGTCATGTTAAAGGTTTATTATTATTTGGTCCACCAGGTACTGGTAAAACTTTAATTGCAAGAAGAATTGGTACAATGTTGAATGCAAAAGAACCAAAAATTGTTAATGGTCCAGAAATTTTAAGTAAATATGTTGGTTCATCTGAAGAAAATATTCGTAATTTATTTAAAGATGCTGAAGCTGAATATAAATCAAAAGGAGAAGAATCTTCATTACATATTATCATTTTTGATGAATTAGATTCTGTTTTCAAACAAAGAGGTTCAAGAGGTGATGGTACTGGTGTTGGTGATAATGTTGTCAATCAATTATTAGCCAAAATGGATGGTGTTGATCAATTGAATAATATCTTAGTTATTGGTATGACAAATCGTCGTGATTTAATTGATAATGCTTTATTAAGACCTGGTAGATTTGAAGTTCAAGTTGAAATTCAATTACCAGATGAAGATGGTCGTTTACAAATTTTTGAAATTCAAACCAAAAAAATGAAAGAAAATAAAATGCTTGCACCAGATGTTAATTTAAGAGAATTAGCTTCATTAACTAAGAATTTTTCAGGTGCTGAAATTGAAGGTTTAGTTAAAAGTGCAAGTTCATTTGCAATTAATCAAAAAGTTAATATTGGTGAAGGTAAAACTAAACTAAATAATAAAGATATAGATAACATGAAAGTTACAAGACAAGATTTCCTTGATGCTCTAGGTGAAGTTTCATCAGCATTTGGTGTTAATGAAGAAGACTTGAAAACTTGTCTTGAAGGTGGTATAATTAAATATTCACCAAGAATTGATGATATTTTAAAAGCAGGTCAAAGATATGTTCGTCAAGTTAGAGAAAGTGAAAAAACCAGATTGGTTTCATTAGCCATGCATGGTCCAGCTGGTTCAGGTAAAACTGCATTAGCAGCTGCTATTGCACTTGCTTCAGAATTCCCATTTGTTAGATTGATTTCACCAGAAGAAATGGCTGGTATGTCAGAAACTGCAAAGATTGCATATATTGATAACACATTTAGAGATAGTTATAAATCACCATTAAATGTTTTAGTTGTTGATTCAATTGAAACAATTGTTGATTGGGTTCCAATTGGTCCAAGATTTTCAAATAATGTTTTACAAGTGTTGAAAGTTTACTTAAAACGTAAACCACCAAAAGATCGTCGTTTGTTAATAATTTCCACAACAAGTACTTATAGTGTTTTGCAACAAATGGATCTTGTAAGTTGTTTTGATAATGATATTGCAGTTCCAAATGTTCATACTTTAGATGAGTTTAATAATGTTATGATTGAATCAAACTTTTTAGATGATGCTACAAGAGTGGGAGTTTTAAATAAACTAGCAGGTATTGCACCAAAATTCGATATTGGTATTAAGAGAGCATTGACTAATATTGAAACTGCTAAACATGATGATGATCCAGCTAATGAAATTATTGATTTGATGGCTCAATCTCAAACTTCATGAATTATATACAAAAACTATAAAGATCTGATTTTTTCCATAGTTTAGCTTAAGAAACATGATAATCTGTAGATATCAAAGTCATAATAATGACATATTGATTTTAATCTATTACTTACTAGTATAAAATGATATAAATTGTGATTTATCACAAATTGAATCGATATTTTCATTTCCCTTTTGGTAAAAAAAAAATTATGAGGAACGCATTTTTTTCGCAAAATCGCGGTTCCTCAATTAGGAAACTTTCCATGTAATTTTCAAATAGTATACGTGAATTTCCATAAAACCTGGTTAAATTTTATTAAATAATCAAAGAAGTGGGTTCTGAAACTCATTGAGTCTTTTAAAACTTATTTATTTAGTGAATACCGTGTTGGTTTACCGTTGTGTTTTTTAAGTGGTGGTAAAGGTCAATTTACCGCTGTGTTTTAAGGAAGTTGATTCAGATCATATAAACAATTCTATCACGAAAACACCAAAGAACCATCAGTGGTTCGACTATTATGGAAAAGATTGAGACAGGTAGCACAGTGGAGTCGAACTACACCAATTAGAGATGATCAAGTGGCATGAGCTAGCTGAGATCGATGATTATCTGACTAGGAATCTTATTGATAATTTATTCTTTTGGATCAAAACAAGAAAATTAAATAAAGGGTTTCAAGAACCACTAAATGTTGATATTCATATGACAATAAGAATCCTCAACAAATATGTGATCAGTCCAGAGAAAGCAAGACTAGACAAATGCGTCAGCCATTTTACCAAATTGCCCCAAACACAACAATTTTTAGAACATTATGAAGGAGATAGAAACATTATTATGGAGTTCAAGAGACAAGCGCGCAGATATTTTGAAATGTATTTACCAGAATGTGGTTTTGAAATGATGACATCTGATAGATATGAAGCTAAATCTGGATCAACTGAAGGTGCTATTGTTGCTAAAAAGGAATTTCTTCCAGGTGATGAAATAAAATTTTTAACTGGTACTTTTTCAGAATTAAAACCTGAAGAGGAGGATGATTTAGATAAAAGTGATTTCAGTGTGATTCATATGACAAGTCGTGCCAACCCTTGCTTAATGTTGGGACCAAGTCGGTTCATTAATCATGATTGTGATTCAAATGCAAAATTTTCTTCAACAAAAAGTGGAATGAGAATATTTGCAACTAAAAAAATCCTGGTGGGTGAAGAAGTTACCGTATCATATGCAAATAGTTATTTTGGTAAAGATAATAAAGATTGCTTATGTGCTACATGTGAGAGAACGTTGAATGGATCTTTCAATCCAGATAGATTTGTACTCCCTGAAGATGCTGATTTTATAAGTATAAGTTCTGAAGACGAAGAAATACAAAAAACCAAACCAAAAGAAATGATAAGTAATGCGCTACAGCTGGTGAAAAATAATGCTCTACAGCTGGTGAAAAGAGAACCAGAGCCAGAGCCAGAGCCGGAACCAGAAGTGATCTTACTAGAGACTGAAAGTGAAACAGAACCAGATGTTGGTGTAGATGATGTTATTGACAATGAACATGAATCAACTCCAATTGAACAAAGTCCAGAAGATGAAATTGAGTCATTAGATGTTTCTCCGGTACCCATTGACCCACAAGATTTTGATAAAACTGCTAAACCAACTGAACCCAAGAAAAAGATACCATCAATTGTTTCTTGTATGCACGCTGCTACTGACTCACCATTCGAAGAACCTGAAAGTGAACAAGTTGGAGGTCGAAGATTAAGACCTCGTGAAAAACTTAAGAAAAGTCTAAAGAGTGAAAATAGTATATTGAAAATATATCCTAAAGATGATTCAATCGATTCATTAGTTGCTGAAATTCCACATCTGAATAAAGATGTCTTGAGACAACGTCAAATCAACAGAACATTACACAAATTACAAATGACAAAACTTTACAGAGAGGCAGATAAAGATTATTTATATGACTGTCGGCACTGTGGTATATATTTTTTAATTATGCCTCATTCAAGATATAAATATCAAGAATATTGCCAAAGATGTGCCCGTCATCAACTGTTATACGGGCTAGCCTGGCCAGAAACTAGAAAACAATCAAGTTCTGGATTATTGGTGCTTAATTCGAATATACAAAGACCTCCATTATCACAAGTTGAACTTCTGGATGCTCAATCATTACGTCCAAGAAATAAACCTGCTTCACACGGTGGTGTTGCTTATGCACCAAATTCCAACTTCAAAAAGAATAATGAACCGAAGAAAGAACCTTCTAAACCAAAGAAAAAACTTTCAGCAAAGGCAAAAGCTGCTAATATGAGTGATTATTTTACGAACTCATCTAATGATAATAGTGACTCAGATACCCCTGAAGTTCTGCCGCTGGGTAAAATTGTTAAACCGGAACCAAAACCAAATAAACCAAAGAATAACCAACCAAAAGATGGTATTAAGAGGGTTGCACACTTAAAAAGAATTAGAGAAACAATACCTTATACATCAGACACCAATGGAAATGGAAATGGTAAAGTTCAAGAAAGAATTTTACATGTTGAAGATCGTGGCGATGGGAACAACTCAGTTTTCAGTCGTTCAAACTCAGAAATACCCAGACAGAAATTTAGAATTGTCAAACATGGACAAAATGATCATAAAAGCTCTCATAGTAATCCTCATATACGAAGAGTTAAAGCTAATGATAGCCATGAAAGTGATAGCAATGATTCTGCTCCAACAAAAGATGAAATTATGAAATCACGTCCGAAGATCAGTCCTGATGCTTTGAAGAAGGAGGCTGAAAGAAGGCAGACCAAGATCTCTAGAGTTGTTAGCTCGCATGAGATCGAAGTTAAACATGAAGCTAATGGCTCCAAGTCAAGATCCAGATCACATTCAGAAATTGTCAATATTGATGAAGAAACTTTTGCACATGCAAAACAACAAAAACTTCATGAGGAACAGACACCAAATGGGAGTCCAAGAAAGAAAATTGTTATACCTGAAGGTGCTACAGTCGTTAATTTAGATTCAGATGAAGAGGATGATATTGTTCCTGTCAAACCTTTTAAAACAACACCACAAAAAACTAGTCCATATAGAAATGGGAAATACACATCAACAGCGTCTGGAATCCATAGAGTCAATGTACCACAAAGGATCAGAGCTCAACAACCAGCATATTTTTAAAAAGATAAATTCAAGATATTCCACATGAAAAGAAGACTCAAAAAAAGACTTCAATACCTAATTTGCATCTTTTACACTGAACATATTGTTCTGTATAAATTATATTTTATTTCATTTATTTCCATATAAATATAATAAATTCTTAATACAATGATAAAGTTACGACAGTTCAAATAACAGTTTATTTTTGAATGAATGTAGTTTAAAGTTTATAACTTATTTTAATTGTCACTTATTCTATGACAGATACCGGTCCAAGTTTTACGCGTACATCACGCAATGTGCCGTGTAATTTTCAGTCCGATAGTTTTTTCACAATTTTTTTTTAAACTACGACTGAAAAAATGGTATGCGCTAGGTGTTGAAGGACAATAAAGTCGATTGATTTGGTGTATTTATTACAGGTATCTTATCATTTATCCATCCAAATAAATATGGCTCCACCTGTTGTCCGTCCAGACAATGTCCTTAAGGTATGTTTTTGTAATATTTGAAGAATACCATGGCTTGTTATTGAAGGATCCGTGATTCTATATATCAAGAGCGTGATTGGGAATCAATTAGAATGAATAATTTACTAACATTATTTCCATCTAGAGGGCCGAAGAATTAATTACCGTTGGTAAAGAAGAATCTGCTTTACAAGTTTTACATGAATTCATTACTTCAAAGAAGACACGTTCAGTTGCACCAGTCGCTTTAGAACCAATCGCCAACTTATTCGTTGAATTAAGTGTTAATTTAAGAAAAGGTTTCACTTTGAAAGATGGTTTACATCAATTCAAAAAGAATGTTCAAGTTGCATCAAATGGTTTAGAATCAGTTGAAGCAGTTTCTCGTAACTTGATCCAATTAGCTGAAAAGAAATTAGATGCTGCTCAAGCTAAAGCTGACGCAAGAGCTGTTACATCAGTTGAAGATGATTTAGAAGCTGGTGAATCCCCAGAAGATGTTTTATTATCAGCTGTTTCATCTGAACAATCAAGAGATCGTGCTGATAGAGAATTAGTCACTCCATGGTTACGTTTCTTATGGGAATCATTCCGTTTAGTTTTGGATTTATTAAGAAATAACTCCCGTTTAGAAGTTGCTTATGCCGCTGTTGTTCAACAAGCTTTCCAATTCAGTTTATCATACAACCGTAAAACTGAATTCAAAAGATTATGTGAAATGTTACGTGCTCATATTCAATATGCTACTACTCAACAAAAATCTGGTACTAAACATTTGAATGCCATTGATTTACAAGATCCAGAAACTTTACAACGTTATTTGGATTTACGTTTCAGTCAATTGAATGCTTCTGTTAAATTAGAATTATGGCAAGAAGCTTTCAGATCAGTTGAAGATATTCATACCTTGATCAATGTTTCCAAACGTCCTGTTAAACCAACTATGATGGTTAGTTATTATGAAAATTTAGCTAAAATCTTTTTGGTTGCTGACAATGGGTTATTCCATGCTGCTGCATGGCACAAATTCTTCAATCTGTACTCTCAATCACCAAATGCTACAGAAGAAGAATTAACTCGTTTCTCATCAATTTTTGCCTTAGCAACTTTATCAATTTCTCGTGATCATTTTAATGTTGACGTTAGTGAAAACTTTAACAGATATTCAAACAACCATTTAGCTTCATTATTAAACTTACCAAAAGTCCCAACTAGAGAATCATTAATTCAATACGCTTTAAACAAAAACGTTTATGATTTTGTTGATCCATCAGTTAAGAAATTATTTGATTTATTAGAAACTAATTTCCATCCATTATCAATTCGTGATGATTTAAATGAAGTTATTGCTAACATTGAAAACAATGAAATTTTCGCCCCATACATTAGAGCTTTAACTAAAGTTATCTTGACTCGTTTATTTGAACAAGTTTCTCAAGTTTATGAAACTGTTAAATTAGATTTCTTAATCCAATTAGCTACATTAAAGGGTAAATTTGAAGTTTCTCCATTAGAAATTGAAAGTTTATTATTGAATGCTGGTAAAAATGGTGAATTATCATTTTACATTGATCACGATGCTGGTGTTATTACTTTCCGTTCAGATCCATTTGAAGAAGCTTCTTCACCATCTTCAGGTTCATTACAAACTTCTCCAGCTGATTTAGTTCGCTCACAATTGTCCAACTTGGCCAAAACCTTATATGCTTCAGTTAAATACACTGATCCATCTTACTTGGAAAAACAAAATGCTATTCGTGAACGTTTACTTGCTTCTGCAGCTGAAGCTTTAGCTAAAGAACGTAAAGAAATTGAAAAATCTCGTGAATTATTAGCTCAACGTAAAGAACAAGCTGAAAAGGAAAAGAAAGAACGTGAAGCTGAAGCTATTAGAATTAGACAACAAAGAGTTGAAGAAGAAAAAGCTGCTGCTGCTGAACGTGCTGAAGCTGAAGCTAAACGTCGTATTCAAGAAAAAATTCAACGTGAACAAGATGCTGTTAAAGAACAAGAAAAACAAGCTCTTATTAAAGAAATTAATCAAAAGGGTATTATTAAATTAGATGCTGACCAATTAGAAGGTTTAGATGCTGATAAATTACGTGTCTTACAAATTGAACAATTAGAAAAAGATAAGAAAGATTTGGAAGAACGTTTACAATCACAATTCAAAAAAATCGATCATACTGAAAGAGCTTATAGAAAATATGAGTTACCAATGTTGGCTAAAGATGCATTAGTTCAAAAAGAAGAAGATTTGAAACATTACGAAGTTTTCAAGAACAAAAGAATTACTGCTGCTAAAAAGGAACATGAAGAAGCTTTACAATTACGTGATCGTTTGTCCAAGATTGTTTCAGAATATAACAAATTTAGAGATGAAATTGATTCAGAAGCTGCTGCAAGAATTGAAGCCTTACGTAAAGAAAAAGCTGCTGAATTAGAAAAAGCTAAACAAGCTCGTATCGAAGCTGTTCGTCAACAACGTTATCAAGAAGCATTAGCTAAATATGAAGTTGAAAAGGAAAGAGAAGCTCAAAGAGCTAAAGAAGAAGCTGAAGCTAAAGCTAAAGCTGAAGCTGATGAAAAGAAACGTGCTGAATTACAAAAATTACGTGAAGAACGTGAAGCTACTAACAGTAGATTAGATGCTCAAGCTGCTAAACAAAGAGAAGTTGAAGCTATGATTGAAGCCAAACAAAGAGCTGCCAGATCTGGTGCTTCACCAGCTGCTCCAAGCCCATCTCCAGCTCCAGCTGCCGGTGGTGAAAGAAAAATGACTTATGCTGAAAAAATGAGATTGAAACGTCAACAAGGAAAATAATAAGCCAGCCATTCGCATGTAAATTAATATGAATTTAATAAAAGTCCATTAAATTATGAATTTGTTGTAGATGTTTTTGTAAAGCTTTTTAGACTCAGCCATTTTGATCTTCTTTACGCCAAACGACAGAATTTGGTTGTCACACGCTGACACGTCGAGAAAAAAAAACATCAACAAACAATATTTCAAGCTGAAATCTTGTAATTTATACCATAAGATTAGAAAGTTTAGTAGTACAAATCAATTTATTTCAACATGTCCACCTTCTTTGACGAACAAAAAAGATCATTCGTTGACGTCCCAGTCACTGATAGCAAAATTGCAACCTCAGAATTTCTTGAAGCCACTGAAGCTTTGATCAAATTATTTGGTGAGTATAGATATGACAAAGTTTCAAAAAAAAACATGAATTGTGGGTCTTTTTTTACTAACTTTTCAATGTTTTATAGACTTATTAGGTTCATCTGCTTTTACTGTTGTTCAAAACGATTTAAGTGGTAATGTCACCAAGATTCGTACTCGTTTATTAGCAACCCCAGATAAATCAGCTACTTTACAAGATCTTGTATTAAATGAACTTGCTGATAAAAAAAGTAAAACTGCTACTCAAGGTTTATTATGGTTATCAAGAGGTTTACAATTCACTGCTCAAGCTTTAAGAGAAACCATTGATAACCCAGGTAGTGAATTATCTAAAACTTTCACTGATGCTTATAACAAAACTTTAGTTAAATATCATTCATTTGTTGTTAAACCAGTTTTCAAATTGGCTATGAAAGCTTGTCCATATAGAAAAGATTTCTTTGAAAAATTAGGTGCTGATCAAACTAAAGTTTTAGAACAATTAACTGCTTGGTTAGAAGCTTTAGAAAACATTGTTAAAATCATCTTTGCTTTTTACGAAAGTGGTAACTATGGTAAAGGTTTATAATTGGTTGAAATTTAATGCATATGAAAGTATTTCACCACAGTTTTCATTTAATATAATTAGGGAATGTTTTTAATATTATAAATTTGAAATGAATTCACGAATATAAGTATAAGAAAATGTAGTCCAGATCTACTACTATAGTAATTCTTTTTAAACGTAATATTATAAACATTGTTATTGTCACCTATAAAAAAGATATATATAAAATCAAAAATAATTAAAAAAAGATTAAATAAAGGGAAAATCTTGAGAGGGAATAAAAAAAGAACATTAAAATTAGAAACAGTTATAATCTTTTGATCAAAAAAGATAAAATAACAAATCTCAAACCGATCAAACATCATGAATTTCCCTTTTTTTTGTTTATTGCATTTAATCTATTAAAATGAATTAAGTTAATTAAAAATTATGCTTGATGTAAAAATTTCAAAAAATGATCGGTAAATTAACTTAGGTAAGAATGTGAAAAATTTGGGAGGTTTAACAATAAAAAATATATGAGTATTGATAAGACAAACAAATAACCTTTTATAAAATTATGACAAATGGGTTTAAATTAACAAAATAATTAAAAGCTTTTAAAAGTTTTTCTTGTAATTGATTGATTCAATCATAAAGCTTATAATAAAGCTAAGACTAAAGCACCAATGGCACCGAAAACTGAAGTGGCTTGGAAAACAACCATACCGTTAGCATCACCTTTTGATGATGATGATGATGAACCTGAACCACTAGCAGATGATGATGAACCTGAACCAGTTTCTGATGAAGAACCTGAAGTTGATGATAATTGGATTGAAGTTGATGATGAAGCAGCTTTACAAACATATGAGTCACCTTGGATAGCATTCTTTTGTTTGTTGAATTCTTCACAGTCAAATTCTTCAGATGATTCTAATTCTAAACCACCAGAAACTCTCTTTAATGATGGTAATGAAGCGTTAGTGAAGTTACCAACGAAAATGATTGAACCACCAACAGATTCTAATGAGTCGAAACCTTCAATATCTTTTAAGTGAGTGTTGTTTGAGATATCGAAACCACCACCAATTGAGGTTAAGTTTGATAAGTCAATTTCTTCTAATTCATCATTTGAAACAAAAGTTAATGAACCACCAATTTTTTGGACGTTTGATAAATCAATTGAATCAACTGAAGTGTTAATGAAACCTAATGAAGCGTTAACATTTTCTAATTTAGATAATGAGATAGATGAGATATCACGGAAAGTAATATTGTTAGCCCATTCTAAATCATCAAATGAAACTTCAACGTCATTTGAGTTATAAGAAACTTCTAAAGCAACTTTAACATTTTGTAATTGAGAATCAATAGAGTTCAAGTTTTTGTTGTTGTTAACATTGAAAGTATCTAAAGATTGGACATCAAAACCGTTCAAGTTTTCTAATGAAGTATCTGAAATGTATAAGGAGTTAATTTTGGTGATACCAGTGTTTAATTGAATTTCATTTAAAGCTGGTAAAGTAACGAAATGGACGGTACCGACAGTTGATAATTGAGGTAATGATAATTGATCTAAAACAGTTAAGATGGTTAATTCTAAAGAATCAGTAATGGTAGTTAATTGACCAGCAGAGAATGAGCCTAAGTTGGTGGCATTGTTGATGATTAATGAACCGTAAATAGCTTTAACTTTGTCTAATGAACCAGAACTTAAATCACCAGTAATAGTTAAATCACCTTTTAAAGCTTCACAATCACTGTATTTATCTAAATCAGATTGGGATGAAGCAGTAGCTGATGATAAAGTACAACCTGAAGCAACAGAGTATGATGAAGCAGCTGAAGCGGCTGAAGCAGAAGAAGTGGTAATATCTTCTATTGTAAATTTTTTGTTAGTAAATGAATTCCTATAAAGAAAGCTTTTCTGGTGATTAATTTGTATTATCAGTTTAAGTAAATCCCAATCCGGAAATTCGGTCAAAAACATCCCGGATTTGGAAACGATGAAAAAAATCTTTGTGATAAAAATAGAACAATCACACTAAAACAAACAGATAGGAAAAAACCGAGATCCCAAGTGACAGGCTGGAAAATTTAATGAGAATTAAAATCACAATAAACAACAACAGCGCTTCATTTAACAAAAAGCATTGTAGTATAAAGACTTTGGTAATATCTAAAAAACATATTGTGAAATGTCATGGTTACCAGTTTTCATGGTTACCGCCCTATTTGTTTATGTTTTGAGTTTTGGAAACATAGAAATAAACAAAGGGGTCACAAGATATTATATAGATTGATAAAACAAAGTTTCTTTAATTGTTCTTGGAGGATTTCCTTCATCAAATTGACCATTGCCTGTTCACAGTTTCTTCCTTTATGTGATCACTCCTTGAAATTTCCCTCAAAATTCTTAAACCAAAATAAAAACACAAATCAACCCCCCAAAAAGACTAGAATTGAAAGCTATTCAATGATACTCACGAGCTGAAGCGAATGATGCTAAAGCACCAGCTAAAAGCAATGATCTGAATTGCATTTTTATAATTAAACGAAAGTTATGTCTTTGTCTCTTTTGATGAAATAAATCAAATTAATAACCACGGTAAAAAATCACTTCTTTAACACTTAACGATTGAATATAAACCTTCTTGAAGCAATAATTGACACAAGTAAAGCAAATTAGTTAAAAGAGCAAAGATAGCAGTTTTTATAAAGACTAGAAAGTAAAAGGGAAAAGAGAAAGAAAGGAAAGAAGAAGGATTTTAATCTAGTAAAATAATTCTTGAGAAGAAAAAAAACACATTACTCGCCCAACGTGAACGTGAACAAAAAACAAAAAAAAAGTTTCGGGAAAACTCAACACTCGCCAAATCAGGCAACTTCACAACACGCAACTACCTAAAACAGACACGGTACAAACAAGAGTGCCGCAGATTGAGTTTTTTTTGCGCAAAAGTTTCCTTAGACAAAACGAAAATTGTAAGTACAATAGATTGTAAAATATTACGGTTTACGAGTAATATTTCAATCTTGATATCTTTATATCTTTTAATTGAGTTTATTGTGAGCTATTTACAACCTTATATATTCTTTGTTAGCTAGGCAGTTCAATCAGAACTGTTTATCCATACCTTTAAAATTAAAGCCGAAGCCCACTTTGTAGTTCTCATTCCAATTCACGGTTAAAATTGTGGGATGGAATGTTGGATTGACCGCACCATCAAAACAGGGAGAAAGTAGCAGAAATTTTGCGTAAACCGCGAATTGTTTCGTAGGCTCGTGCATATATCCAAAAATCCTTTCAAACCGTTGATTTATTTTCTTCTCATGATTATGGAAGATTATAGATAGACAAGAGAATCTAATAATAATCAACCTAGAAATCTACATTTATACTTTACTTGGATAACAAGATCATACATCTTTATGGTACTAATTCCCCACTGAGAACATATAACTCATATAAGCCAAAAATACCCTCAACTTCTGTTACTGAAGTGAAATGATCTTCAATAGTGTATATCGTTTTTTGCAATTTTTCGTTACCCACAGGTTTTAGATATACGTTAATCAAAAAGGTTCGAGCTTCAAAACACGATCAAATCAATCAATTAGTTGATATAAAATTCAACTACGTGTAATCTGTTCAGCGTTGTCGTAGTTTCATCTAGTAACTATCATTCTTTGGGGGAGCAGAAGGTAACCTGTAAACAAACAATCACAGCAGATGAATCTTGACATCCTTAAGCTTATAAGTTATGACATGTCAGCTTCCCAAGCAATATTTCGTCTGTCTATCAAAGTTGACAAGTTGTACTACTTGATGAAACTGGTAGAGGAATCAATACTCTTTTCTCTTTTCGAATCTCAATGCTTTTAATTCTCTTAATCTGGTGTTAATATGGCGTGCATTTTCCTCTTTAATAGATTTATTGGGTATTGGTGTCTTGGACCGTACACGGATGATGGATGATGGACATGGTACAAGTTACAAGTTTCAACACACTAGCCTCTTTGTAGATTTAGAAGTCAGCCTCCAATGTTTTTCTTAAATCTAGTAGTAAAAATAGGGAAATATGGAATATGTGTTAACTTACAGCATACGATGCCTCGAATCTATTTTTTTGCAGAGTTTCCAGGTGATAGAGAAGATATTTAACGTGACAAGATGCAGTTTGAAAGGCTTCGTTGATGTAATTGAAGAAAAATTCCAACTTGGCTCGAATGCTCGAGTGCTTGAATACTATCAAGTTTAAAGGTACCTGAATGAAAGCTCAATCTTGTATAGAGATGATTGTTTCAAGTCCAAGGCTTCTAGTGGTATATGTAAACTTTTTTGACCTTTGTCTTCAGGTACAAATTAGTCGTCTGCTTAAAGCTTAAAGCATATCGCGTAAAAATTAAATCTTGCAAAAATTCCCGATAAAAGATCGAGTACCTGATTGAAAATTGAAAACATGGAATTTCAATTAAAGCTAGATCTCAAGATTCATCTAGACTTGATACATCGTACAAGATTTAGCCTTAATTACTAACTTAACAAGTTACAACGTGCTAGCTACACTTACGACTAGAGTGTAAGCTGGTAAGCTGTTAACGTTAGCTATGTTTATGTTTTTATTTATGTTTTGACGCGTTGTTTGTATGGAAAAAACAAACAATAACAGCCAGCTCAATGCTCATCTTGGCCATTTAGAGTAACCAGTAACCAGATTATACTACATCTAGAAGAAAGTTTGTTTGTTTTCACGTAAATCAAACTCGAATTATAAACATAAATCACCATGGTTATTTGTATTTTAAAGTACTTTCTCATCGACTTCAAGGCTGAGTTGTTAACAATATTTTTCACTTTCACAGCCTCCAGAATAATTTTCGCCGATGATTTGAGTTTTCGCCAAAAAACCGTCATTTTAGTTGGTGCAGCATCACGCTTTACCTAATTTAGCTAAATTGGCACTCTCGAGATAAATCTGCATAAAATTTAAAAGAAAAACAAACAAATTACTATTTTAGGCAAAACCAGATGATCTTTATTAATTTGATGGGGTTAAATTAAATGCATAGAAAAAAAAATTGACAGAATAACCAAAAATATTAAATTCAATCAAAACACAAGTTATTTAACCTCTAGCTAAGAATTTTATTCTTTCCCAATCACCTAAAATTAATTCTCTATGCGCCAAGTGCCATTGTAGGCCGAAATTTGAAGATTTTTTTTCTTCGAGTTTTGTAAAGTTTAAAATATATTTTGAATTTGATTTTCCTAGATGCCTTTTCTGTTTTTTTGTTAAATTTTCAAAATTTGTATTGTTCAATTCACTCAATAATTTGTCATTATTTGGATCACAGTAATTCTGAAGGTTTGCTATCCTCAATTCATTCCTTAAATATAATAAATTATGTTGATGTGATTGTTGGAAAATACTTAAATTTTGACTGATGATTGTATTACCCAATTGGGTTTTATTACTAGCATGATCTGCATTGACTCCAACATGATTTTTCGCTGGTTCGGCCGCACTCGGATCTTTTATATGTGATAATCTTTCGATTTCTTCATCTTCATCGATATAATCATCTAAGAATTCATCAAGAACTGAAACTGCAGACATTTTAAATTGGTGAAGTTTTGTTTTGTTTTCTGTCTATAGTATGATAAATATAATTGAAGTTGAGGAAAAGTGGACATTTCGAAAGGTTTATATAAATTCTCGCTCTTAGTTGAGAAGATTATTTTGAGCACAATATATTTGAATTTCGAATTCAATTATCTTATATAAGCTCAATCATTTTCAAAAATATAGAATTACCTCATAAATGAGTAAGAAATTGAATACAGTCTACGAGTCATAATTTGAATAGCTTCTGAAGTTCTGACTCCGATTAAGGATGTTTTTTTTTTCCTATTGAGCAACCCCAGAAATTTCACTTGTTCAACAAGAACTTGCATCAATCTAGGGATAAATAGTTCATTTTACTCAAAAACTACATACTGGAGAGTAATATAAATATAATTACATATTATGGAACTAATAACTTTATGAATTAAAAAAATAGCACAACTTATGTATACAAAAATAAATGTTCCCTTAAATTTAAATCCCTTTTTTATGGGTACTTAATTGTAAGTCCACTTCACCATAATCATCAGCTCCTAAAACCAACGAGAATAACAACATTGAACAGTTACAAATGCACCACGATGTATAAAAAGGTCAATAGCAATTAATAAAAAAAAGTGAGCCATTGACAATATAAAAAAATGGGATGAGAAAGAAGAATATAAATATAGTGAAATGTCTAGAGTAAAAAAATCAATGATATAAAAAAACAGATTCCTGTATATTACTATTGTCTGATAATCAATATATTGACAATATCTTTTTGGATAAAAATATAATATAAAAAATTAAATTGTTGTAGTAGTCATTATTCATGCAAAATATTGGTAATGAAATAAATCTTTTTGTCTAACCTGTAGAATTGATAATTTAAATTTCAAGCACCTTACATCAATAAAGCACAACCAGCAGCAACAGCAGCACCAATAGCACCAGTACCAGCGATGTTCAAACCAGCAGCGTTTGAGCCTGATGAACCACCTTCTGAACCACCGGATGAGGAACCACCTGAACCACCAGATGATGAGCCACCAGAGCCACCTGAAGATGATGAACCACCTGAACCACCTGAAGAAGAACCACCTGAAGAACCAGATTCTGATGAGCCACCTTCACTTGATGAACCACCTGAACCACCGGATGATGAACCACCTGAAGAACCAGATTCTGATGAACCACCTTCACTTGATGAACCACCTGAAGAACCGGATTCTGATGAGCCTGAGCCTGATTCTGATGAGCCTGAACCACCTTCACTTGATGAACCACCTGAAGAACCGGATTCTGATGAGCCTGAACCAGATTCTGAAGAATCTGAACCACCTTCACTTGATGAACCACCTGAAGAGCCTGATTCTGAAGAGCCTGAACCTCCTGATTGAGAAGCTGATGAATCTGAACCACCTGAACCTGAACCAGATTCACTTGATTGAGCAGCAGCAACAGCTAAGATAGCAGATAAGAAAAGGACGTTTTTCAATTGCATTGTATAAATATATTAAAGATTAATTTGAATTAGTTGTATAAAACAATAGTTAAAGAAACGAAAGAAGAAACCAAAAACTTTGTAAAAGTAGGAAAGGGGTATCTTAAATAGTATTTATAATTTTTTCATCCAACAATATTTGATGGTGGCAATAAAGTTTCATTGGGCCACCAAGGCTATAATAATTGATACGATTCCATACTTGTGGCATGTGTTACAGAAGGTTTGACCCATAAAGGATTAGGGTGTGTCATTATTGATTTTCAAATAGGCTTTTGGTTTTTGGCCCTACACAGTTTTTCCTTTTTGTTTCCAAAAAAAACCCACCATAATTGAATTGTTTGCTATTCAGGGGACATTCACGGTAGAATATTATACTAAAATTTGACTCAATTGTTGCTCATAATCTTCTGAAATTAGGTGGGTTCAGGGAATCAGGGGGAATCAGAAAAGCTGGCTATATTTGGTAAAAACAAATTTCCAAATTGGGTATAGTAATTGTTCAGAATTGTTACAAAGTTGCCCAAGAAATACCATGAGATTTATTCAACAAAAATCTTAATACGGAGGATTAAACGTTTCTAGCAACTAAGTAATTGAACTTCACGATGTACGATTACAATAAATTACAATAAGTAAACTACAAATTTCATGTTTGTATTAGCAATAATCAGAACTAGTTTTGTAATGATTTTTAATCACGATATATTTCATCTATGAATTGAACAGCATGATCACATCACCACAAACGTGCAATTGATCATTATAATGAAGTGAGGAGGAAGGAAGAGCTCACGTTTTTCATTATAATTACTTGTCTAAAGTTCAAATATTTGAATTTTAAGTTGAAACTTTTGGTATATGAAGAAGGACCTTCCAGGAGTCCTGATGCGCGACATTTTATCAAATTGTATAAACATTAATATATAGCCTACCTAAAATATCGATTATAGACAGTTCCAGATTTTATTTTTGGATAGACATTAAGCCAGATACAATAGCTATAGAATTGATTTTTCATGAATGGGATCTAATTATATTTCAATGTTATACTTAGGTTGAAGAACATCCAAGAAATTGAGATTCAAGAGTTACAAGTTTTGAGGTTTTATCGGGTTATGACTAATCTAATTTGGGGGTAAACCTGTACCCTGTACCCACTTAGTCATTTTCTCCAGTGTAATTAGAACATTCCATACACCTGTTCCTGACATTGATTGATTGCATGTAGCTGATAATCAAATACGTATAGCCACAACTGAACGTGTTTAGTATTTACTCTAGCTCTACCTGAAAATCAATATAAGCCTTGAATTAATAAAGTTAGGTACAAGTTAATTATAAACAAACAAATCTACAAACCGAACCTTTTCAGCTTTAGACAATTGAAAGATTGTCAACTGGGCTAAGTAATTCATATATATAAAACGCGCGCGATGTATAGAGTAAACAATAAACAAAAACATTAATCGAATGTCGAATTTCAAAGACCAAACCAGCTCTAACTGCTCAAAACACCAGATCCAATTGAATATATTATAGTGGAATATGAATTCGGTATATAATAAATGTTTACAATTCTCGAGAAGTCTTTCGGGTCAGCTTTAAATTTTTCATTTCCCATGCAGTTTGTTTTCTCCCCGTAATCTCTATATAATATGTGCATAATATCAACAAGAAATTGACACAAAAGCACATACTGAAAAAGTATAAAGCACATGCTGGTTACAAGTTAACTGCAAATAACACAACAACACAACCAATCAAGAATAACTCTGTGAAATTCCCTAAACTGTAATAAATATCCAATCCTTTGGGTATATATCCTTGTATCCCGCTTAAACTTGTCTTTTAAACCAATTTTTCATAAGTTTGCTCTTTTTATTCAAAGCTTGGAGTACCTTGAAAGTTGAAATATATCGGAATTTGGAAAATTGAACCATTATTTAACCATTTAACCGGGAAAATGTGAAAAATGATTATATAAGCGTTATATAAGCAGAAGGTACAGGTAAACTACTATATAGGGTAATTTTCCAAATTTGTACAGTTTCGTTTTTTTACTCGATCCAATTTTCGCAATTTTTTCATTTTAATACAGTTTTTGCAAATTGTCGTTCGTAAAATTTCTTTTGCGCTAAAAAATTAATAATACTAGCTGTAGTATATAATATTTTGATACGTGAATAGTATAAGGAATTATTTTTCAAATGTTTAACATGTTTATGATTCATGAACCAAAAGCTGTAGGTAACTACAAGATTTACTACTTCGTAAAATAACATCTATAGCTTCGGCTTCTTCCTTGAACACAGACCAATTTCAACATTCCAACAGTTAAACTTAACATATAAGGTATTATATGTAATTGTGCAATTGGATGTGGACGTAATCGGAATATGTTTAAACTCTATATGATTGACCACATTTGTTGACTGGTCAACTACTACGTCAAAATTTAAAATGATATTCCATGATCAGTTGTTCAATTTTGAAGCTATACTTGATTTTCATCAATTTAATCATGGCACACACTAGCATGACATATCCTGATTCCTGATACGTTGAAGCACCTCAAATTACTTATATAACTCACGATTCATGAATACGAATCATAATACGTATTACTCTTTTGAGCACCTAGCTATAATGGTCTGGAAGTTGGAACTAGATTATGAAACATGTATATACTAGTACGTCTAACTCATTATGGCACAGCGACATCTAGAATAAAAATTGATGGAATCACAAACGGCCTTAATTCAAATGAAAGACCACCGCCAGATTTTGAACGTATGAATCGAGTTGGAGCAAACGTCTAGGTCGATCTGGTGATCTATATCTATATACTCGCCTAATAAAGATATTATTCACCATCATGCCCAGCACTACGTTCCAGTGTTCCAGTATTATATTAATTGTTAGATCGGTTAGATCTATGCGAATTATTATTAAGATTCAACCTAGTTTTGATTCAATATTAATATTGTGCACCACAAATACCTAGTATCGATAGGACAAATCTAATCTCGATTCTCAATACTCTATTATCGACTATTTTCCGTCGCCCCATGGTATTCCTAAGTTAACTAATGAAGATATTGAATTATTAACATGTTGAAATAGACAATGTAATATGGTAGACATATACAATATAGCTACTCTAGAGTTCCATATATACACATATTGGATCAAGTATATATATGTGTTAATGTTTATAAATTACTTTTAAACTTATATACATATTGATCTGTTCTGTTACTTCTGTACAAGTACACGTATATAATTTCATATACATAACACAATATACTTACACATGAATGAGTCAAAAAAGAAGATAGTACCTGTAGCATTAAGACCTATACACTAGCTAATAGCTACCTGGAAAATTGCAATAAATCAGCATATACCTGGGTCCTGGACTTTCAAATTATCTGATCAGTAATTTAAGCGTATCAGCATCCATCTAGAAGCCAAAGAATGTATAATTACCGAGATACGAAAATATACGTACGTCTCGATTATTCTTGAAGCATAAGTATGAAAGGTTAAAATGTTTGATATATGCCATAGTGCTTATTTTACATTACGGACAGAACATTAGGAATCACCATCAACTTGATCAGGATTCAAGGGGAAGGCGACATGAGCCGCCAAACATTAATTAGACATGAATCCATGTCTAATATTATAGTTAAACCTATAATTATCCTTGAATTAATTACACATGGTGCATTAATTATACCGAGAAATAATAATCAAAGTCCCATATTAATTTAATGAATATAGTTGAACTTGATCTCAGGTGATCGGTCATTTATTTTAGTTTTCAGTACCCAAGTACTGTTCAACACATGCCAAAACGTAGAAGTTACACGTACCAGTATCAGCTGCTGTAATATTGTAATCATTATTGAACAAGCTCTCTAGAAATCTTAGTGGCCCGGTATATATATTATAGTTATCATATTGTAGGTAGTTGAGTTAACGGGGTACAACGGTACAACGGTACAACGGTACAACATATATATAGATGAAAGTAATTTAATATATTCTGTCTGATTTTAATCTTATACAGCTGAATAAATTAACTTAACGTTATAACTAATTCGACGAATGTTAATCTTAATTATATACGTTTGAATTAACAGGTGCATATGATCTTACAAATTACAGCTTAAACAAGGGAATCAAAGTTCAAACCTCATAATATAGTACAATTAACCAAGCTGAAAAACCGTTTTAAAGTACTGTTGACAATCATTCATTGATATCCCATTATACGTCGTCGACTTGAGGGAGCTAGCTGCTGTACTGCTTGAAAAGGTAAATAATTAATAGACATTTTAAATTGTCGTTGTTCAGACGTTATTGTAGAAATCGTGTATAGAATCTTTGTAACTTTCCGCCTTTCACAGTCGAAGCTCACGGTATACTTCTACTATATAATATTAGAATTATTATCCTTAACAGTTGACTTGGAACAAGTAAATTAAAATATGTTCCTGATGAGCACAAACGGGTTCCCAACTTTCTACTGTGCGTGTAGATCTTGGATTAGTAAGTTCAGTAGATCAAGAGCAATTGGACGATATCGAGCAGCTAGTAGCTACGTATATATTAACGTCTAGTCGATTAATATAATTAGCGCAAATTAAAATAACATACAATTATTGCAATAACGATCAAACATTAATATGCAATTGTGTATCTTGAATCATCCCTTCAAATGAGAGTCAACCTTCAACAGCTGTCATATATTAGTTTAATTATTCCATGGCGCAACCATGAACATCAACAGCTACCTTGGACTTTCATATACAGAGTCCAGAGTTCAGACGGTCCGGTGAGATAATTTAAACTTTGGCGATCACCGGGATCTTGTAGAAGTTAAAATTAAAGTTGCACTGACCCTTGATAATTAATAAATTTTGCACTACGAGGAAAAAGATCTTCAACATATAACGACATATCATGATGGATGAAGTTTTTTTACTTTT